TGTGATTGTGACCCCCCCTTTACTGTCTTTCGTGTCGTCAGATTTTTCCTCTACTTTCGGTGGAATGTATTTCTCTTTATGAGCTATCTCATGGAACAGGGATAAAAGGTTGTACTCGGCCACTTGTAGAGAAATCTGAAAATAATTAATTTTAATTATAAAATATTGTGTTTTTTGATACTTCCAGTAATGTTTATCTAATAAGTAGGAATGACAAAAATTTATTTTCTGTAGTCAAATATTCGATTGCATTATTCAAACAATAGACGAATATTTGGAACATTTTCTGAAAATAAAATTTTATTTCAAACTTCACTGTCAATACATGGCATATTTTAAACTCAAAAACCCTTTTATGTAAATTTATATAGAAGTTCAATCACACACAGATGATCACAGGCACCTAACGTGTGGATGGGTGTTTATATGAAATATGTTTAGACTGCTAGTTTTCCCAAATGTACCCCATGAATCATTCATGTATCAGCCTGTACAGTCAGTTTATATTTTGGTAAGCATTAAAAAATTGCCAGCACGATATTTTTTAAAGCGTATTAAATAAATTGGGGGGCGGGTGGATAAACATACACTATCCACATGTCAGGTGATATATTGTTAAACAATTAAATACTGCTTGTTCAATTATCAATTGCGTGGCTATCAATTTAAGACAATTGTTTTAATTATTATAGAAGTGTCAAAACTTGTCACATCTACAGTGTGTTCCCTGTATTTGAACATTCTTAGAAACAACAAAATATAGTGGGCACATGGTCTAAGATCAAGTCCAATTAAAAATTTTACAAAGCAACAACACAAACAGTAATTGCCAAATAATTCTCACGGTAGTGAAGCATTTGTAATTACTGTACTTTCTACATGTACATGTAGTTTTTTTTGTGTTACTTTTATGTACGAGTTATTTGTTTTCTGAGGTAACATTTGTGCGTGTTGTTTCTTTTTTGGTGCCACCTTCATGTACATTATTTTTTTTATTGATATTACCTTGGTGTATTGGTTGTTATTTTTTTATTGGTGTTACCTTGGTGTATTGGTTGTTATTTTTTTATTGGTGTTACCTTGGTGTATTGGTTGTTATTTTTTATTGGTGTTACCTTGGTGTATTGGTTGATATTTCATTATTGATATTACCTTGGTGTATTGGTTGTTATTTCATTATTGATATTACCTTGGTGTATTGGTTGTTATTTTTTTATTGGTGTTACCTTGGTGTATTGGTTGTTATTTCATTATTGATATTACCTTGGTGTATTGGTTGTTATTTTTTTATTGGTGTTACCTTGGTGTATTGGTTGTTATTTCATTATTGATATTACCTTGGTGTATTGGTTGTTATTTCATTATTGATATTACCTTGGTGTATTGGTTGTTATTTTTTTATTGGTATTACCTTGGTGTATTGGTTGTTATTTCATTATTGATATTACCTTGGTGTATTGGTTGTTATTTTTTTATTGGTGTTACCTTGGTGTATTGGTTGTTATTTTTTTATTGGTATTACCTTGGTGTATTGGTTGTTATTTCATTATTGATATTACCTTGGTGTATTGGTTGTTATTTCATTATTGATATTACCTTGGTGTATTGGTTGTTATTTCATTATTGATATTACCTTGGTGTATTGGTTGTTATTTCATTATTGATATTACCTTGGTGTATTGGTTATTATTTTTTTATTGGTGTTACCTTGGTGTATTGGTTGTTATTTCATTATTGATATTACCTTGGTGTATTGGTTGTTATTTCATTATTGATATTACCTTGGTGTATTGGTTGTTATTTTTTTATTGGTGTTACCTTGGTGTATTGGTTGTTATTTCATTATTGATATTACCTTGGTATATTGGTTGTTATTTTTTTATTGGTGTTACCTTGGTGTATTGGTTGTTATTTTTTTATTGGTGTTACCTTGGTGTATTGGTTGTTATTTTTTTATTGGTGTTACCTTGGTGTATTGGTTGTTATTTTTTTATTGGTGTTACCTTGGTGTATTGGTTGTTTGATTTTTTGAAGAAAGACTTCTCCTCTGACTGAATCCCAAATGCCAGGTACGGCCCCACCAAGATGTCTCCCCAGTATCCTCGCCGTAACATCTTCTCTCCTTCCTGTGATTATCCATTCACAAATATGTCATACTTCACGTAAAAATACTCCCATATACATCTCATATCATTCTTGAAGATACAGAATCTTAAAGCAAATTCAAAAAGTATCATCCTCCAAGAACATCAACTTTTTTTGTGGAAATACATGTGACTTTATTGTTCATGTATATCTTTTTTATATTCCAACTTGTCATCTAAAATCTGGTCGAAACTTTTAATAATACATTGTAAGCAATCTATATTATAAAAGGATAAAAAAGTATAGCCTGATCGAGGTAGTTTTGGCAGGACTTATTTTATTTTGATGATATTTTGTAGTTGTGTAGTACTAAATGTATATCTGTATAATACTGTATAATAAACAATTTCTTTGCTTATCCAATTTTTGAAGAATTTTGCAGGTTAATATCAAATAGAACATGACCTACAAATATAATTAGTTTTTTTTTCCTGAATTAATTATATGTTATTGTACTGTAAATTGTTAATTCATGATGGTCTGAAGTCAAGTTATGCACTGTAGAAATTTTTATGAATATATGCAGAAAAATATTTGAGAGGAAAAACAAGATGACAGATCTAATAAAAACAATGCTAAATCTTCTCCTTGAATCATTTTTAGCTCCCTTTATTGGTTATAATTTTGGCATTTCTAATTGATTATAACCATCAGTAACCTTTAACCTTTCAATAACTGATGATGATGACCTTGACCTCCCCTTCTAATTGACAATGACCTTTGTTGACCTTTGCACATCCTACCTGATTTATAATGACTCCTGAAGCCAGTGTTTTGTTGGGGATGTCATACGTTGCCTCCCTTGGTTCAAAAGCAATCCCAGTACTCCTCCATCTTTTGTATTCATGTTTGTGTATTATATCTGCCTGTAGAAAGGTGTCCGTTATATTAAGTACCTTCAGAACATTTCCAGAATTATAATCAGGCCTCCAAAATTATAGATTAAATGTCTCCAAAATTAATAGATGAATGCTCATATAACTACACATGGAATCAGTCATATACTGTGAAAGAAATGATTAAATGATCTTAAATTCTCAGAATTCTCCCTGAGTTACAAGGACAGAGCGTTCTCAGTATAATTAGACAGCTTCTACAGTAATAACTAAGCTTAAAGCTGATTTCTCCCAAACCTCTTTGTTGACTAGCTTCATGTGATAATCCCAATCATACGCATTAAATCTACAGTCGTATCGTGGACCTAGGTATTGTCTCTGTCTCATATCCCTAAAACAAAGATAAAACATTAAATCTACAGTCGTATCGTGGACCTAGGTATTGTCTCTGTCTCATATCCCTAAAACAAAGACAAAACATTTAATCTACAGTCGTATCGTGGACCTAGGTATTGTCTCTGTCTCATATCCCTATAACAAAGATAAAACATTTAATCTACAGTCATATCGTGGACCTAGGTATTGTCTTTGACTTATATCCCTAAAACAAAGATAAAACATTTAATCTACAGTCGTACCGTGGACCTCAGGTATTGTCTTTGACTTATATCCCTAAAACAAAGACAAAACATTTAATCTACAGTCGTATCGTGGACCGATGTATTGTCTTTATCTCATATCCCTAAAACAAAGATAAAACATTTAATCTACAGTCGTACCGTGGACCTCAGGTATTGTCTTTGACTTATATCCCTAAAACAAAGATAAAACATTTAATCTACAGTCGTATCGTGGACCGATGTATTGTCTTTATCTCATATCCCTAAAACAAAGATAAAACATTTAATCTACAGTCATATTGTAGATTTTGTATGCAAGAGTACTTGAAAGTGTAAATCACACTGTGTTTAATAAAACTCCAAACAATCTACTTACCAATGTTTTTCAGCATCAAAGATTTCTACTGATGGATTTCTCCAGAATTTGAAAATTCCCTCAAGAAAATCTCTCTCTTTAAACTGAAATAAAGTAAATACCTGTAACCAGTGAGATTTCAGTTTAATTTACATAATTTAATTGTGCAGGGCTTAACAATAACTTTTGTCTAATTCACTGTGCCAAGAGAAAATTTTCATGAAAAAATGAATATTGCTGGGCACTTGTCTGATCGGGAAAGTGCTTTTTCTGTGGTGAACACTCATTGTCATAATATATTTTGATCCTGAATTTAAACTCATTATGGATCAAAGTTTGTGATTTGCTCATTACATTGCTAGTAGCCTGGAACTGATGAAGTTCTGGGTTTAATGTCAGGTAAAAAAGCTGAAATAATTGAATGAATGTTCGGTATTAACACTTTACCAATACAAGATCCAATGAGAGGATTACAGACTTTACTTCAGATGACACTATATATTTCAAATTGTCAATTAGTCCTCAAAATCATATTTGTACAAGTAAATTCCAAAACAGTTGTCAAAATGGATAAGTAGGAAAAAAGTTACTGTTGAGCACTGTTAGGAACGTAAATAATGTTAGCTTGTATCTTCTGGCTTCATTTTTTATGTCATAAACATGACATTTAATCCATGTGAAATTTTCAAATTCCAGGCTTTTTTTTTTGGGGGGGGGGGGGGGGGGATCTCACTAATTATTTTAATCCCTTATAGAAATCTAACAAGGTTTATTTCTGTTACCTTTAACTGAGAGAGATCTAACATTGGTAGCTTCTGAGCAAGATAGTCTGAATCTGTCACCATCCTACAAACCAGAGGATATATTTATATTATTACATCAAACACTGAGATGATCCTGTCATATCCTACAAAACAGAGGATACATTTATATACATCAAGCACTAAGGTGAAGCAGGACAATTTAATTTTATACTCACTTGATGAACTCATTTGCCATCTTCTCCACATATTCACAAGCCTGTTTCCGGACCAGCAGATTGCCAAAGAGTTCAAGGAACATTTCTGTTTTCTCTACATAAGAAAAAACATCACAATTAAACTGTTAATGAAAGAAAACTTAAGAAGTGTATGTATTTATAACATGAATTAAGTGTAGGTACAGTTACTAAACTACATGATATACAGATTATTATTTAGGTATGAAAAGATATAGGTTAATCTTTAGTACATGATATACATATTATTATATAGGTATGACAAGATATAGGTTAATCTTTAGTACATGATATATTGATTATTATATAGGTATGACAAGATATAGGTTAATCTTTAGTACATGATATACATATTATTATATAGGTATGAAAAGATATAGGTTAATCTTTAGTACATGATATATTGATTATTATATAGGTATGACAAGATATAGGTTAATCTTTAGTACATGATACATCGATTGTTATATAGGTATGACAAGATATAGGTTAATCTTTAGTACATGATATATATATTATTATATAGGTATGACAAGATATAGGTTAATCTTTAGTCCATGATATACATATTATTATATAGGTATGACAAGATATAGGTTAATCTTTAGTACATGATATACATATTATTATATAGGTATGACAAGATATATAGGTTAATCTTTAGTACATGATATATCAGTTATGATATAGGTATGACAAGATATATAGGTTAATCTTTCATACAGTCATGTAGTTATTTTACCTTGTAATCCCATGCGCTTTGGTGTCTCCAAACTCAGTGCCAGAAATAACATATCTCTTGCATACAGCTCCAAGGCATTCTCCAGAATGTAAAACTACAAGCAGAAATAATGTGTCTCGATCATGTGTACTGTGAGTTACAATGCAATCTCTAAATTATTAAACTCAGACAACAGAAGTGTGTATATTAGGTAATTTTCAGTATCTCAAACATTGATATCTTCAATACCTGGCTCTGGTGAAGGGAGTGGGAAGTCTCTACCACTTTTTCTTTAATTATTTAAAGCTCAATATCTTGAAACTTTGTATATCTTGATTTTTTTTATTTTGATTGAGATAATAAGATTAGACTATTTAAGTACAAGTTTGATACCTAACAAAAAACAATATTAAAATCAAATTGTATCTTCTGAATGGGTATGACAAGATATATAGGTTAAGTGTTACTTTTATGTAGAAATTAAGATTGACTTACGTGGAGTTTTTTGTGATGGTGACGGTATGATCTTGCTATAGTCATCAAAACATGTCTCAAATCTCCCGACCCAACAAGCAAAATCTTCAGCTCATCTAAATCAAAATATTTCTGTCATTAATTTTATCACATAAGATGCCATTAATCTTTTACATAAATATAAAGAAATTTCTATAATGACTTCTAGGGTTGTATGTAATTTATTGAGACACCCTTCTTTTTCCTGTCATTTTATTACCCAACATATGTATATTCTATTGAAAATTCTTCATATATAATTCATTCAAAAACATACATGAATATTATTGCAATCAAAATATTAAAGTTAAGGTATGTCACTCTTGAAATTAGTTATATCAAGAATTTTTTGAAAAGTATATTTTAAATAAATACTCATATAGCATGACTCAAAATGTCAAAGAAAATAGGGGGTCAGTGTGCACCTTACTGAGCAACGGTACAAGGAACTTGACCTTTTTAGATAATATTTTTCATTGAACAAAGCATACAAATAAATGTGCATAAATTATTGTTTGACTTTTTGCACTAAAAAGTATCATATTTGGGGTATTAAAAATCTAAATAGGCAACAAAATATTTTTCTGTATAAAAGTTTTCATGACTTAAGTGCTGATCAGTTGGAAGTATCATGTAGTTTAAAATTATGAAAGAAAAAGTTGGGCTCAGTGATGTAAGTTTTGAGATACTGGCAAAAATATGCAATTTTCAAGCCAAAAAAGTGTAATCTATAATATATCTTCATTTCTTGGCAAAGACTGTTGAGTGAATGTAAAATTTGTTCAAAAAATATAAATTGAGACCTATATTTTATATTCCTAGCATATAATAATGGAAAATATTCTCGGAGTAAAAATATGTGGGGCTAAAGTTGGAAGATATTAAATTTTACAAATGTGTAGATTTGAAGAATTTTCTTCAAAATATCCTTCTGTCACAAGAAATAACCCCCCCCCCATAAATCTTGCTACTTTATGACTTTGTGAGCAGTTTTTAAATTGACTGTTGTTTAATTTGGATTGTTTAATTCAAATATGTTATAAAAATTGAATTGTAAAAAATAGTTTCGAAGTCAGAGATTCTGACTGAACTTTTCTTAAAAGCTGATGATTGACATACTTTAAATCTTAAGTATTTACTTCCAATATAAATTTAATGATTTCTAAACATTTAATAGTAAAAATTAGAAAAACAATTTAAAATAAATTATGAAGAATAATAAAAAACACAAATGGTGGAAATAAATGTCAAATTTGAAAAATATCTAACTGTTAAAGTAAAGTATCAGCATGCTATAAATAGAAACTCAAACTTTAAAAAATTGAATAGCTATAAATAGAAACTCAAATTTTAAGAAATTGAATAACTGCTTTACCCAAATCACTTCATTATTTTAAAGTAACATACATATGTCAATTTCACAAACCATTTTCCTTTTCACTTATTTTCATCCCATTTACTGCAGTCAATAAATCTGAAATTAAAAATGACATTGTTTATTATTCTCACTCACCTGGTGGATTTAGAGATGGTGTAGGGGGGTGATGGGGGGGGGGGGGGAGGGGCCCCCTGCCCCCTTTTTTGTCCAAAAATATACATAAGATTTAATAGATCAATTTTTTTGGTGTCGCCCATGCCCCCCTCCCCTTTTCATGAATCCTGGATCCACCACTGATTCTTTAATATGAAACTGTTTTTTGTCATTAGAGTTTAACATGTAGTTATTGCTACACAAAGCATACCTTAATATGTAATAACTGTAAGTCAAATCTACAGGTGATTCATCATGATTCATTAATAGTTTTGTCATATGTAATTATTTGTAGTGTCACCGGGTCTTTTGTAGGATAAAAATCCAACACTGGATTCGGCACAAACTATATTTATTTACTGTGCTTAGAACAAAAAACCAGGAATCCAGTTAAATTAACTCCAAGTAATACTTTGCAGAATACTTCTATGTTTCAAATACATGTACAGACTTCTACTGTAAAGGCAAAAAGCGTGGGGGGTCAAGAATTGGTGGGTACTACGCATATATACTCGGTGCAGAAATTAAAACATGCATATTAATAAGATAAAAACAGTCAGTTATTGGTCAGCAGTAAGGTCACATTAGGTCACCTAACCGGAAACACGTGGAAATACAAAAATAAACAATGCCACATGATCTCCCAAAACATTCACACAAGACACACGACACAAACAAACGCAGCGAACGCATTCGATTGGCAATGCGCGCCAATTTTATGTACAAATTAAAATATAACATCTGTGACAGTAGTATCATATACTTGTAATTAATTGAATTAATATTGTGATGTTTTCAGGAACCTGTTGATGATCAGTTCCTAAAACAATATCTCCTTCTCGCCCCTGCATCACATTATAATATTGTGTTTTATTACATTTTCAACAGTGAAATACTGTGATTTATTTATTGAATAAAAGTGAATATTCTCTCACAGTGTGAAAGGATACCAAAATGATATTCTCTCGCAGTGTGAAAGGATATCAAATTAAGTAAAAAAATAATTTCTGGTCTGTCATAAGATAGATATAACAACTAAGCATCTTGATAGAGGTAAAACTGCAAATTTCTTCCCAAATATGTTGCTAAAATCCATGCTATGTAATGTTTTCAATCACACTACTGCTAAGCTATGGCATCTCAACCGCTCAACTATGACGTGAAGCCTATGACACTGTGTTAAGAAAAGACTGAGGCAAAGGGAAAATCAAAGAAAATGTAATAAACAGAAAATTCAATGTTTTGTAGATGAATATGGAATTTATTTCACAAGTGGGACAGGATTTTTTTATATTTTCACTCGTGCTTCGCACTCGTGAAAATATAAAAAAAATCCTGTCCCACTTGTGAAATAAATTCCATATTCATCTACAAAACATTGAATATCCTCTATTTAAACAATAATTTAGATCTTGAGATCTAATACAAAAGTAACACATGAGTTTGTTCAAAAGAATGTATATTAACTAGCAATTAACAAGTAGCAATTTACTTAAGGAATGAATTTAATAGCTACCCAATTTAAACGGTATAAAGTGTGTTGGGGCAGTTTACGCTTTATAAACCTCAAAGTGATTTAAATAAAAGTGTAAACTTTTTCAACTCACTTTATACCATATAAATTGGGTAGCTACTAAATTCATTCCTTATAATTTAATTTTCATTCATTTAGTGTAAGAAAAAAGATGATTGCCCATAATAATTATTTCAAATTCTAAAAAATTTAAATGTAACGTCAGGCGGATTGATGCGTTTTTGACGCAAGTCACTGTGACGTAGGCAACCCGATTTATACAATATAAAGTAAATTTTTTATCCAATCTATTTGCGTGTAACAATCAGAATTAAATTATACAAGTATTAACCAGTGGCAACATTCCTGGGTCGATTTTCAAATCCGCAAAAATAAATATCAAACTTGCATTTAATTCATAATCGCACAATACTTCAACAGGTTCAAACACTTGCCAATATAGATAGAATGTTCTATCGTTAAAATAATATTGTCCTACGGACCCGGTTTAACGATAGAATTCGTTCCGTGTATTTGCAATGTAGCAAAATAAACACGGGCGATAACTCGAACACTGTGCATTTTCTATGAGGAATCCAGAGAGTTCCGAATGTCAACATGGCGTTAAATTTGAAGCGAGGAAAAAACATTGAGAAAATGAGTTGAATTTTCGTATATATATGGATTAATTTTTAGGTTAAAAGGCATATACAATCTCAAAAAGGTTTGTTATGATTAATTTGGTAGTTATTTTCAGTGCAACTCATTTTGTATTCTTCAGAATCATTTCGGAGTGGATCCACTCCGATTTGCTACATTGCAAGTATATGGGACGTATTCTAACTGTGGTGAGGGCCTGTCCCGAGACACAGTTAGAATATTCTAACTATTGCCAATATTGCTTGGAGTAAAATTCGTTAAACACGTCATGCCTGGCCCATTTCCAATTATCTTAATTGCTTCAGTTCTGGTGTTTTTCTGGTACATCAAGTACTTGTGAAAACGTCAGATATTTCGAACAACTCAACAAATCGTACCTTTGTCCTGAATGTCCACTGCTGGACTGAATCCCCACCAAGTTATCGTTCCAAAGCCGTCTGTCATCTCTTCTGCAGGTATTATTTAATTTACTATTGCCTAGACAGGGTTCTCTTTCTCTAAAAATGCAGTTGTTCACTTCTATACTTGTTGCGTCCCGGGTAGACATGTGTAAACAAAGCAGTTCCGCGGAAAATTTAAAATTTGCTAGTGCGTACGTAAGTTTTTTTGTGTGTGCTAAATAGTCATATTAGGCATTTTCATTTACAATAAACCACTTTTTTAAACCAATTTATTTTTAGAATTGGATATTGAAAATGAATTTAAAATCAGCTTTCAAATAAAGAATATTTCTAGTACGAAATAGTTATTGGATGATCTAAAAATAAAAACATGGCGGCGCCCATGGATCAGCGGCAAAATTAAAACCATAAATTGATAAAAACGTCCTCTCCACGATGAATTCTAAGCCTAAGGCATTGAAAATGTAGGTTTAAATTTTTTTAGCTCATCTGATCCAAAGGCTCAAGAGAACTTTATTGTTCGAAGAGAATCTAGTGCCTGTCTGTCTGTCATCTGAGTTGTCTAATATTTCAACCAAACTTGACACAAAGCATCCTTGGGTGAAGGGGATTCATATTTATTCTAATGAAAGGTCACATTCTCTTTCAAGGAGAGATGATTAAGAAAAAGCAAATATTTGGTGATATCATTTAATGTAATACGGTTGATGAAGCGACGGTTAGGGCAAGCATAATCCAAGATTCCTCGACTCTAACCCCTGCTTTTATAGAGACATCTTCCCTGCACATGTCACAATATAAAAGCAGGGGTTAGAGTCAGAGGAATCTCGGATTTGGGCAAGCACAGATGTGTTATTAATATGTTGACGGTGCAACCATTAGGGCGAGCGCAGATACCTATATTCAGTTTTTAAAATTAGATTGGGCTCTTCAAACTGCATGTGACATTTAGTACGTCTAGACTCAGACGTCACATGAGGCCAAAATAAAAAATACCTTTGTTTCCCCTAACGCGACCGACCCTCTTAAATCATGCCGACTAAAAAGTTTTTTTAATAGGATTATTAAAATATTTTTTTTTACTGTTTATCAACTTTATAAAATACAATTTCATCAAAATCCGTTTTTTTTTTTTTATCAGAACGGCGGCTTTTGTTTTACTCTCATTTCATGTGGCCACAAAGGGTTCGTTCATGTTATAAAACAACGGCGATGTATCAATCTTAATATATATCTTTAACTTATTAGAATCCTACACTCTTGAAACATTTCATGAATTAAATATACCATGACTAAGGAGTGTTAAGATGATATTTACAAATATGCCTTTTAAAATTAATGTATGTAGTAAGCATGGCAAAGCCTGCCGAACACTTCTAGTATACCGGTCCCTATAAATATGGCGCTAAAATAGGTGCCGCCGAAGGCGGTGTACAATATAATACGATTGGGTGAGCGATCGCCAAATCGATAAAAAAGGCCACAAATCGCAAAATTGAGCCAAAAAACATGTTCCTTGTGAAAAATTGGGTTTAAAAAACTGGTTTTTAAACACAGTTTTTTAAATGAAAATTAAAAGGTTTCGTAGAATAACGTACTTGTTTAGTAGATAAAACTCCATTTTGCGTTGTTTAGGAATGTGGTCACATGATCAGTTTTTGACGTAATCTCATAAATATTCATGACGTGCGTCACTTGTGTTTTGACGTAATGAAGACTGATGAAGTAGAGCTGATAGGACTCAAAGTAAAATGCTACTAGAATTGCGAGATTTTTGTGAGAAATGCAGGGATTTAACAAGTGATAACTAAATACTAGTAATTGGTTGATTGAATTGTGCATCACCATTGATTTGAAAGAAAAAATATTCTGAATATGGACATTAGGAAGTTAGGATATCGAGCTTAAGTAAACGGCAAGTCGCTTTTACCAATTACTTGCCAAAACTTAGCGCACAATATCGGGCATGTTTCAACATTAGAACAAGGCTAATTCATCCAAGTTTCGCAAAACTTTCCTGTTCTTTGTTAGCAAAAATTGCATGAATAAGCCCAAAGTGGTATAGATGCGAGCATGGGTGAATATAAAACAGTTACAATATCCGAGCTATATATATACTAACCCTAATCCGTAGATCGCATACATTGCCATATTTAATTAACGGTTTGTTTAAGTTTTGCATGTTTCATGCTTTACTCCTATTAAAGATGGTATATCAGCATGGTTCGACATTAGGCTGATTCATGCAAGTTTTTGGTCACAAAAGGCACTTGGCAGTGCCTTTTGTAAGCAAAAATTACATGAATTAGCCCAAAGTCAGGAAAATTTAAGAGTGGATTTATAAAACAGTTCCAATCTTAAAACAATATACCCTAACCCTAATCACTCGATCGAATGCGTTTTGTTGAAGCGAGGGGAAAATGGCAGTTTGTTTACATTCTGCATAGCAACGGCAAGGGAAATAACCGCTCATGCGCAATCGCGTGATTCTGGGGACGGGCATACTAGAAACTTCCCAGCCTGCCTAACGAGCAGATGAGGAGCCCACCTTGTGTATGCATATCAATAAGTTTCACTGCATTTCATTCGTTTCAATCTAATAAATACTTCATGTATGATTCTATTTTTACTATATAGGCCCATAGGATTTGTAAATATGTCTTTGACTGTATAATTATCATCTTGATAAATATAATTCAGATGTCATTTTTTCCTTCCTTTTATTTATGGGGTAAACTTCGTAACTATAACATTAGATATATGAAACTTTAATCATTTAAGAAATGGTTTGATTGAATAAAATATTGTTTATAAAGGTGCACACTTTTCAAATAGTGTTAAAATCTTTAAAATTGGGTTATGGTACTGCTTCCTGAGACGTCCAGTGTATTTTTCTTTAGTTAGGCCTTTGAAAATAGGTTGTTTCTTTGCTTTAAAACATCTTTTTTAATTGTTTGAGTCGACAACATTTGAACACCTATCTGGTGGAAGGCTCCTAATTTACAATTTTTCTTGGCACTTATGGCCATTGATCATAAAGCATCAATAAGGGATCTTTTTCATGCCATCATCTACATGTATACTGCAACACTGCATGGACCTACTTTTTTTATGGTCTCATTTGACTGACAAGTCTCCACATCCCACGTCGGGACCTGTGACTTACAATAAGCTCCTGAATTATGCCAAGACTCCAAACGAAACACTAGAATTACTGCGCCACGCGAGGCCCTTGACATTTTGTCTGTGTAAGCACTCAAAGATGATAGTAGGTTTGAAAAAATATACTTGGATGGCCGATGGTTGAGTATTTGCGAATCTTGTCTTTTTGTAAAAATATGATTTCATTTAATTTACGCTGGCCTGAGATATTTCACAAGTTCAAATGAATAATATTTGTGAATTAATTTACTATACATGTTGCTTTTAAATTTCATTTGTATGATATTCGGTTTAAAAATCGGTTTCTTTTGTTCTCTCTTATTTATAAAGACATTATTCAATTTTTCAGAAAGTATTTTCAAAACTGTTGTCAGAAAAAAAAAATAATTTACCTACCTACCTACCCAACTTGAAATTTTAGGGTCGGGTTAGGGGAAACAAAGATAATTTTAATGATGGCCTGACATCGTTTGAAAGTTGCATTACCAAAACGAAGTCGGAACAGGGCTAATTTTAATAAAGAAGGTTTAATCTACTATTTATCTGCTACATGTATATATCCATCAAATCAAGGTGAGTTTATATTTTTAGGTCACCTGAGTCACTTCACTCAGGTGACCTATTGCTATCCGTTCTCGTCCATCGGCATGCGTCGTGCGTTAACATTTGAACATTTTTAGCTTCTTCTCTGAAACCGCTTAACCAATTTCAACCAAATTTGGCATATAGCATCTATGGGTGAAGGGGAACAAAAATTGTGAATTTCATGGTCACTGCCCTCCCCCCCTCCCGGAGGGGCCTGAGGGGTGAGGCTAAAACCACCAAAAATAATGCAATCTTTAAAAATCTTCTTCTTTAATCCAGGACATCAAGCAGTCAAACTGTTGGCATCATTGTAATAAGCATTGAGCCCTCTACCAAAATTGTGAAATTCATGGCCCCAGGGTCAGGGGTTCTGGCCCAAGGGTGGGGCTATATAGATCATATAGTGAAAATGCATTATTTCTTTGAAAATCTTCTTCTCTGCTCCTGGGTATTAAATAAAGTAACTAAGTACATAGTTATGAAGAGCAAGAGTGCCTCTTCCAAAATTGTGAAATTCAGGGCCCCAGGGAAAGGGGTTCTGGCCCCAGGGCGGGGCTCTATAGATTATATAGTGAAAAAGCATTAATTCTTTGAAAATCTTCTTCTCTGCTCCTGGGTATTAAATAAAGTAACTAAGTACATAGTTATGAAGAGCAAGAGTGCCTCTTCCAAAATTGTGAAATTCATGGCCCCAGGGTCAGGGGTTCTGGTGTTAGGGTGGGGCTCTATTGATTAAATAGTGAAAATGCATTTATTCTTTGAAAATCTTCTTCTCTGCTCCTGGGTATAAAATAAAGTAACTAAGTACATAGTTATGATGAGCAAGAGTGCCTCTTCCAAAATTGTGCAATTCATGGCCCCAGGGTCAGGGATTCTGGCCCCAGGGTGGGGCTATATAGATCATATAGTGAAAATGCATTATTTCTTTGAAAATCTTCTTCTCTGCTCCTGGGTATTAAATAAGGTAACTAAGTACATAGTTATGAAGAGCAAGAGTGCCTCTTCCAAAATTGTGAAATTCATGACCCCAGGGTCAGGGGTTCTGGCCCCAGGGTGGGGCTCTATAGATTATATAGTGAAAATGCATTAATTCTTTGAAAATCTTCTTCTCTGCTCTTGGGTATTAAATAAAGTAACTAAGTACATAGTTATGATGAGCAAAAGTGCCTTTTCAAGAATTGTGAATTTCATGGCCCCAGGGTCAGGAGTTCTGGTGTTAGGGCGGGGCTTTATCGACTATCTAGTGAAAATGCTTTAATTCTTTGAAAATCTTCTCTGCTCCTTGGTATTAAATTAAGTAACTAAGTATATAGTTATGATGAGCAAGAGAGCCTCTTCCAAAATTGTGAATTTCATGGCCCCAGGGTCAGGGGTTCTGGTGTTAGGGCGGGGCTCTATTGACTATATAGTGAAAATGCATTAATTCTTTGAAAATTTTCTCCTCTGCTCCTGGGCATTAAGGTGATAAACTAAGTACATAGTTATGATGAGGAGGTGGACCCCTTCCAGAATTGTGAAAACCATGGCCCCTGGGTCAGGGGTTCTATTGATAATATAGTGAAAATGCATTAATTCTTTGAAAATCTTCTTCTCTGCTCCTGGGTATTATTTAAGCAAACTAAGTGCATGGTTATGATGCATAAGGATGCCTTTTTAAAAATTGTGAATTTCATGGCCCCAGGGTCAGGGGTTCTGGTGTTAGGGTGGGGCTCTATTGATTATATTGTGAAAATGCATTGATTCTATGAAAATCTTCTTCTCTGCTACTGGAGATTATTTAAACAAACTAAGTGCATGGTTATGATGCATAAGGATGCCTCTTCCAAAAATTTTGAATTTCATGGCCCCAGGGTCAGGTCTGGTGTTAGGGCGGGGCTCTATTGATATATAGTGAAAATGCATTGATTCTATGAAAATCTTCTTCTTTGCTACTGGAGATTATTTAAACAAACTAAGTGCATGATTATGATAGGCAAGGATGCCTCTTCCAAAATTTTTAAATATATGGCCTCAGTTTTTGGGGTTCTTGAGGAGGGGGGGGGGGGGGGGAGGGGCTCTATTGATTATATAGTGAAAATGCATTAATTCTATTAATTAATCATTAATTAATCCTGTCTGCTCCTTAGTGTTGAGCTGATTAATAAATTGCTTAGCTATGATGAAAATGGGAGCTTCGAACAGAATTTTTAAATCTTGTGGTCCTAGGGTCAGGGGTTCTGGCATAACGAAGGGGGGGGGGGGGGGCTTTTGATAATATAGTGGAAAAGTGTTAATTCTTTGAAGTCCATAGTTATGATGATGAGGGTAACTCTTCCAAATTTCTAAATTTCTTGACCTTTGGTCTTGGGTTCTGGTATTAGGGTAAGGCTTTGTTGAATCTGTAGTGAAAATGCATTGTACCTGTGAAATTCTTCTCTGCTTCTGGGCATATCAGAAGCAAACTGAGTAAAAGTTTAAATGATATAAGTAAGCATATTTCTACCAGATTTTTGAACATCTGGACCATTTGTCTAAGCATTCTGATCCTGGGCAGGGCTCTATTAATTTGTATTCTACTGAGAGAAGTTATTCCCCTTTTCCATTCACCTTTGATAATTAATCACTGTAAATAATGTATTTGAAAGGTTAATAGAATAAGATAATTATGCAAGAATGTTTATCGTATAATTCAAAAAGTACTTTCTTAGTTTTAATAATCAGGCAGACCTGTAAGTAATAGATAAATAAAAATGAGACAAAAATAACTTATCTTATTAAAAGTTCTTCAAAGACCATAAGAGAGGTCAATGCTAGAGGTCTTAATATGGGTTTAAAAATAGTACAGAAGCACTAATAGTTTGTTAATAGTCTGCATGGTGATAGTGTTAAGTGGGGGACAGATTAGAACTTAAGTTATGAGTTGATACTGAATACTAGACTAATTATTTTGTTATCCTGGTCTTCCTACTTCTCTTGCTTTAGGGGAACAAAGCTTCATCTATCAGTGTATTTAACTTCTAAATTGTTGTATTATACTCAGGTGACCGTTAAGGCCCTTGGGCCTCTTGTTCTTGGAACTTCTTGTTACCGTAGGAACGTTGTTTGCGGCGAGATGCCATTACGGGAGCACAGGTTACTGCGGAAGAAGAATCATTTTGATTTATGTGCAGAGTCCGAATTTTCTCTTCACCCAGGCATTGCTTAAAGAGCTCACAGTGACGAGCGGCGCTTTGCACTGCTTTTTGCACTCGCTATTACTGAATACCATCAAAAACCGTTATTTAGAATTTTAACTTACAGAAAACTGCAGAAAAATTTTGTATGATCAATGTGTCCAAGCAATGCTTTAAGAGTTCGCTGGTCCAGCCTTGCTTTCTTTTAATTTAGAATCACAAGCCAGAAAAGACAAACGTATGTTAAGGTTTTGGAAAATCTTGAGCAATGGAAAGAAGACAGTTTCTGGAAATTGTGCAGAATCTGTTTGAAACATAGAGTGTCAAAAACAGAGTATGTTTATAACATAGATCGCAGACAGGAATGGAGGATGTTGAAGCATAATTGATTGTAGGCGTACTTGTTTATTCTCCTTATATAATTTATGCTTTAGCAGTATTGTTACACCCCTAATAATTACAATGTTTACTTTGTTAAGATTGGTGAGTGTGTAATTACAATCTTAACTTTGTTTAGCTTGGTTAGTGGAGACGTGGAGGGTAACTTTGACAAACTGTTTGGTCGAGTCAATGCTATACAGAAGAAAAGTGGCAGCTTTGATGTAAGAAGGAATTATTACTTATTATCCACAAGCTTATTACAGTTGAACTTCAGTGCTATTACTTAATATCCACAAGCTTATTACAGTTGAACTTCAGTATCTTGAACATCAATATCTCGAATACCATGGATATGTCAAGGTTATTTGGAAGTTCCTACCACCCTCATATATGTTTTTTACCCTCAATATCTCGAGCCCTCAGATATCTCGAAGTTTTTCTCAGTCCTATCAAGTTTGAGATAATGAGGTTTGACTGTAATTAATTGTTCTAATAAAGATAATGACTCTTAGCATATGAATTTTAATTACACCTAATTTGGGTAAAGAATATGGAAAAAGGATTATAGTTTTTGGTTCACCTATCCAAAACATTAAACTTTGTAACATTGTAAACTTACCTTGACTTGATCTTTTAACTGTAAAAGGTACAAGCTTCAAATTTAGTCAAGGGCAAGGTCAAAGTTTTATGCTAGGTAAGGATATTTGTATATGTGCTTGGTATTAGGACATTTGTGTACATGGTATATGTGCACAAACTTGTCTCTTTTCCACAGGTAGGAAATATTTTGGATTTACATAAAGTGGGTTCATTTATTGATCTATTAGAAATATATATTTTTTACCTCCGAGTTAGTAATTATTGAAAATGTTAAAAGGGTTGTCAAAACCAGTTTTGTAGTAAACTCAGGACATCAGTTGTATTTCAGTATCTGCTGTGTGTAGAATTTAACTCAGGACACCAGTTGTATTTCAGTTACTGTTGTGTGTAGGAGAATTAAACTCATGACATCAGTTGTATTTCAGTTACTACTGTGTGTAGGAGAATTAAACTCATGACATCAGTTGTATTTCAGTTACTATTGTGGTAGGAGAATTAAACTCAGGACATCAGTTGTATTTCAGTTACTGTTGTGTGTAGGAATATTAAACTAATGACATCAGTTGTATTTTAGTTACTGCTATATGTAGGAGAATTTAATTCAGGACATCAGTTGTATTTCAGTTACTGCTGTGTGTAGGAGAATTTAACTCAGGACATCAGTTATATTTCAGTTACTGCTGTGTGTAGGAGAATTTAACTCAGGACATCAGTTGTATTTCAGTTACTGCTGTGTGTAGGAGAATTTTTTGGGAAGACCAATACTGAGTGGGAGAAATACAAATCGGGGCAAAGTAAAGGTGAGAACAAATCAGGGCAAAGTAAAGGTGAGAACAAATCAGGGCGAAGTAAAATGTGAGAACAAATCAGGGCAAGGTAAAGGTGAGAAATAATCATTAATACTGTTATTGTATGGTACAGTGCCCATTCCTACAGTAATACTGTTATTGTATGTTACAGTGCCCATTCCTACACTGTTATATGTTACAGTGCCCATTCCTATGTTAATGCTATCATTATGTATGTTACAGTGCCCATTTCTTCAGTAATACTGTTATTGTATGTTACAGTGCCCATTTCTTCAGTAATACTGTTATTGTATGTTACAGTGCCCATTCCTACAGTAATACTGTTATTGTATGTTACAGTGCCCATTCCTACAGTAATACTGTTATGTATGTTACAGTGCCCATTCCTACAGTAATACTGTTATTGTATGTTACAGTGCCCATTTCTTCAGTAATACTGTTATTGTATGTTACAGTGCCCATTCCTACAGTAATACTGTTATTGTATGTTACAGTGCCCATTCCTTCAGTAATACTGTTATTGTATGTTACAGTGCCCATTTCTTCAGTAATACTGTTATTGTATGTTACAGTGCCCATTCCTACATTATTACTGTTATTGTATGTTGCAGTGCCCATTCCTACATTAATACTGTTATTGTATGTTACAGTGCTCATTCCTACAGTATTACTGTTATTGTATGTTTCAGTATACACTCATTTCATGACTAAAAGGGGAACAGTCAAACTGTTGTCACGAGGTAATGGGGAAGGCCTGGGAAACTGTTGCCCGAGGCCAAAGGCCGAGGGCAAAAGTTTCCCAGGTCTTTCCCATTATCGAGGGACAACAGTTTGACTGTTTCCCGAGTTGTCATGAAATAAGTGTTTTATTACCTAACCTAGTATATAATTTCTTAACGTAACGATATAGACACATCGACAAAAGTTTGCATTATTTTTTAGTGTTACATGTATCATGCCCTAATAAATATTAAACTTTATTACATTTTCAACAGTGAAATACTGTGATTTATCTATTGAATAAAAGTGATATTCTTTATCAGTGTGAAAGGATACCAAAATGATATTCTCTCACAGTGTGAAAGGATATCAAAGTAAGTAAAAAATAATTTCTGGCCTGTCATAAGATAGAGCTAGTATAAGTAAGCATCTTGATAGAGACTAAAACTGCAAATTTCTTCCCAAATATGCTGCTAAAATCCATGCTATGTAATGTTTTCAATCACACAACTGCTAAGCTATGACGTCTCAACCGCTCAACTATGACGTCAAGCATATGACACTGTGTTAAGAAAAGACCGAGGCAAAGGGAAAATCAAAGAAAATGTAATAAACAGAAAATTCAATGATTTGTAGATGAATATGGAATTTATTTCACTCGTGAGACAGGATTTTTTGATATTTTCACCCGTGCTTCGCACTCGTGAAAATATCAAAAAATCCTGTTCCACTCGTGAAATAAATTCCATATTCATCTACAAAACATTGAATATCCTCTATATACATGTATTGTTTAGTAAAAAACATAAGGTGACTTAAAGGTTTGAATATAACAAGCTGAGTCGGGCATTTTAAATGGCAAAGAAAGGGGCCTACATTTTTCCAAAAATTACCCTCAGAAAAGGTGTTCTTGGCCTCTTCTTTCAAATGATATTAAATTGAATATATATTTATTTGAGTATCAGGATTACTCTTCAAATGATAATTTCAAATTAATTGTTATGAAAATGCTTCAATTTATACATAATTAAATATTATTGCTGTAAAGTACAGGAAATTAATTATGACATCATGATGAATTAGTTCAGCCATGCAACAGTTCATTCTGTGACCGGGTAAACAGTATACACTTATTTCATGACTACGAGGGGAACAGTCAAACTGTTGTCCCGAGGTAATGGGGAAGACCTGGGAAACTGTTGCCCGAGGCCGCAGGCCGAGGGCAACAGTTTCCCAGGTCTTCCCCATTATCGAGGGACAACAGTTTGACTGTTTCCCGAGTTGTCATGAAATAAGTGTTTTATTACCTAACCTACTATATAATATCTTAAAGTAATGATATAGACACATCGACAAAAGTTTGCATTATTTCTTAGTGTTATCATTTCCTAATAGATATTGATGTATACATGTATTGTTTAGTAAAAGACATAAGATGACTTGAAGGTTTGAATATAACACGATGAGTCGCACGTTCTACATTTTTCCAAAATTTTCCTCAGAAAAGGTATTCTTGACCTCTTCTTTCAAATGATATCAAATTGAATATATATTCATATGGGTATTAGGATTACTCTTCAAATGATAATTTCAAATTTATTGCCGTGAAAATTCTTCAATTTATACATAATTCAATATTATAGCTGTAAAGTACTGGAAACTAATTGTGACGTCATAATAGATTAGTTCAGCCATGCAACAGTTCATTCTGTGACTGGGTAAACAGTTTTGACTGTTTCATGATGTGCAAAAAAGTTAAAATGAATCAGGAAACAGTTCAAAATGCCTAATTACAATTTATATAGTAGGTTAGGTAATAACTTTGACTGTTTCATGATGTGCAAAAAAGTTAAAATGAATCAGGAAACAGTTCAAAATGCCTAATTATAATTTATATAGTAGGTTAGGTAATAATGTCCATTCCTACCTTAATACTGTTATTGTATGTTACAGTGCCCATTCCTACAGTAATACTGTTATTGTATGTTACAGTGTCCATTCCTACAGTAATACTGTTATATGTTACAGTGCCCATTCCTACAGTAATACTGTTATTGTATGTTACAGTGTCCATTCCTACAGTAATACTGTTATATGTTACAGTGCCCATTCCTACAGTAATACTGTTATTGTATGTTACAGTGCCCATTCCTACAGTAATACTGTTATATGTTACAGTGCCCATTCCTACAGTAAGGCCAAATAAAAAAATATGTGTGGTTCCGGTTACACCTCCAAAAAAGTTAGGGTAGGTAGGTAGAGATTTTTTTTTTTTCTTTTTTTTTTTTTTAACAAAATGATTTTCTTAATTTTTCTAAATAATACTTATCACTACTTTGCAAATGACATTGAGATGTGGTGTGATAATATACTAGTCAATATTGGTAGGGGACACCTACATGCTAGCTTGCTTTGGATTTAACACTAATAAACACTTGCACTATGTTGTGCAAGGGGGCCATCATTACTAAAACTTAAACCAGAGCCATTGATGGAAATTGGGGAAAATTCCAGAATAAATATGAAAATTGCCAAAAAAAAGTTTAGGGTCGGGGGTATAAAATAGGGACGGTCGGGTAACCGGAACCACACATATTTTTTTATTTGGCCTAATACTGTTATTGTATGTTACAGTGCCCATTCCTACAGTAATACTGTTATTGTATGTTACAGTGCCCATTCCTACAGTAATACTGTTATACGTTACAGTGCCCATTCCTACAGTAATACTGTTATATGTTACAATGCCCATTCCTACAGTAATACTGCTATTGTATGTTACAGTGCCCATTCCTACGGTAATACTGTTATATGTTACAGTGCCCATTCCTACAATAATACTGTTATTGTATGTTACAGTGCCCATTCCAACAGTAATACTATTATTGTATGTTACAGTGCCCATTCCTACAGTAATACTGTTATATGTTACAGTGCCCATTCCTACAGTAATACTGTTATTGTATGTTACAGTGCCCATTCCAACAGTAATACTATTATTGTATGTTACAGTGCCCATTCCTACAGTAATACTGTTATTGTATGTTACAGTGCCCATTCCTACGTTAATACTGGGACCTTGTGATTCCTCTCTGTCAGATGTATACCAGAACAACAAAGATGGCCTAGAATTGTGTGATAATGTGACCTATTTGGGTATGACTTATTGTTTTTTATGTTTGCATTACCTGTCTTCAGTATAGGAACTTGTATAGATCTATGAATTGTCAAACTGAACATGATATCATGAATGAAAAAGTTGTAAACAACTAAGCAAGATGTAGCATATATGGTGGAAGTACTTTTTTAACAAATCTATTTTTCTGTTGATATATTTGTATTCTGTGACATTATTATGTTTTACAGGAAGGAGAGGAACCTTTACAGGAAGTTCCGGTCTCTCCCTGGCGTACCTCAGCGGTGTGGAGGGGGAGAGGTCGGACATGGTCCACTTCTCCAGTGAGGACGTATCTACCCTTCTGTTACCAGTAGAGAGTGACACAAAGTTCCGAGGAGTTGATATCTTACTGACTTCACAGTGGCCCAAAAATCCCAGCAAATACGCTTCCAATGTGGTAAATAATTTAGAAATACATCCCCCCTCCATTTCCTTATAGCTGGGACACTGTTAATGTGTCTTATTAAATATTCTTTGGAATAATACTTTGCTTTACTAATTGATAGCATTTTTGTAACCTTTGATTTCCAATGTTGAGTTCTTTATGAAGTTAAATGCAACGTTAATTTATGACAGGAAGTTGACACAGAGACATGTGGATCCAGTCTGATTTCACAACTAGCCATATGGCTGAAGCCTCGATATCATTTCTGTGGGTGTGAGGATGTATTTTATGAGAGACAGCCTTACAGGTGAGTCTAGAGATTGCTCATTTGATAATTAAAAGTTTGTATTCATTTCTAATTATCAATTTATGTCAAATTAATTTATGTACTCATCTTTAATGTTAGAAACCACAAGGTTTTGGCCGAGAAAGAGAAGCATGTTACAAGATTTATTTCCCTTGCCAAAGTCAACTCCTCTCAAAAGAAAAAGGTACATAATTCTCTCATATTTTATGCATCGTTTTCTAGAAGTAATATATATTTTTATTCCATTTTCTGTGATATATTTTATTTCATAAATACATGTTTATAGTTAATATTATCTGGTTTTTCAGTGCTATAGGATCAGGGACCTAGGTCCCCTATAGCAGCTGCTGATTTCAGTGTATTTTTGTCCTTGATTTCAGTATCTGTATGCCTTTAATATAACACCGATGTGTAATATGGAGGAAGGTGAATTAACAAAACAGCCCCCTGATGTCACAGAATGTCCTTATCCTAAAGAATCACTGGGAAAACTTGTAAAGGTATAGAGTGTTGTTCTACATATGTGTATGTAGGCACATTAGATTAAGATTGGCTTAGTCTGTAAAAACTTACAATGGGCCACAAAAAGGGTTGAAGGTCAACAGTGGTATTTTTGTGTCGCCTTCAGAGCAAGACTTAGGGATCACTTTACCTGTTTGTCTTCTGTCCGTCTGTCACACCCTATATCTTGAGAACTGTGAAAGAATATGGATTTGATATTTTGCACGTATATTGCTTGGCACTTTGGCTTTTGTAAAATACCATGGTTACTGACCTTGTGACCTTTCAACGTGACCTTTGACCTCCTTTTCAAAGTAATTCATTGTGCCGATATACGTTCAGCATACTTTTGACATGTAGGAGATAAATATATGTTGTTTAGCATGTGCACTATTTGACATAAATCATGATAGAGTATTTTTGAAAAGTAGGTTAAAGGTCTACGTCACATGCAGCGTTACAATCCATGTGATCTTGACCTTTAACCTACTTTGCAAAAATACTCTAAACGGTTGATATAAATTGTATCTCTTTTGATTTTGTGGTACAGGGTTTTGATATTAGCATTTATATTTCATGTTTATGAGCTCATGACACTGTAGTTTGAAACTGTATGCTATGCAGTAACTACACAAACTGAAATTTAAATACTATGAAAATACAATGGGATCAGTATACCAAAAGGATCATATATGATAAATGCTATTCTATTGGTCTTAATATTTGTGGATTTTTTTCTTTGCTATTATAAGTCATGATAATGCTCGTAGCAAATAAATACTTTAAACCAACTATTATTCGCGTCATCTTTTTTTTTTGCGAATCGTCAGTTTGAAATCAATCTGCGACAATTAATTTTCGCGACTGAGGAAACATGCTCTACAAATACAAAGCAAAATAATTGGTTCGCGGTGATTAATATTCACAAGTTTAAGTAGGTCGCAAAACTCGCAAATATTTCTCACATGCGAATAAAAGTTGGTTTACAGTAACTGACCACCTTTAGATTTATCGTAATCATTAATGAGGCTATAAAGCAGGTGACACGTGTTCCTTGGAACACTCTAGTTTAAATAGGTTGTCCACTGAAAAATCATGCAATAGTAAAAGAAAAGACAGCAAAACCAAAATAAGGATTACTGTAAACGTACATAAATAAGCACACTCAGTATTTAGTGCAATCTTCTTCATTGACTGATTAGCCATAATCATGAATTAGCACATTTGGAGCCAAGCTTCTATTTGTATTACTCCACGATATTGTCAGTTGATAATGCTATTCAGATACATGTATGTATTGTATGATGACTGGTGCATAAATTCTTTAGCAAACAAAATATACAAGATCCAATCATTGTTCTATATTAATGTTTGCGCTTCTTGTTTTGTCTTTCTTTGTGGATGTTCATCTTTGTTTCACGTTTTAGTGTACATATTGCACTCATTGTTTGTGTGGATGTTGCATTGCACTCATTGTTCTATTTTAAACTCTCTGTGATGCACTGAATGTTTGTGTTTTTGAGTAGATATTGCACTCATTGTTCTAATTTAAACTTTTTGGGTTACAATGATTGTTTGTGTTTTTGAGTAGATGATGCTATCATCATTCTATATTAAGCTCTTTGTGTTACAATGATTGTTGGTGTTTTTGGTTAGATGATGCAATGTTCCGCGTTTCTGTTTTTATAGGAGGAATCAACACAACAGTTTTTCTTTGGTGATACAAAATCCTCAGATAAAGGGAAAAAAAGGCCGAGGGAAGAAAAACTGGAACCAGGATCTCATAAAAAACATCGTAAGATTCCAGTTTGAATTATTCTCAGTCAACCTCAAAAACATCATAGTACATATACACTGCATCTTGTATGTCATATATACATGTGTATCCTGTAGACATCTTGTATATCATGTATACATGTGTATCATGTAGACATCTTGTATATCATGTATACATGCATATCATGTAGACATCTTGTATATCATGTATACATGTGTATCATGTAGACGTCTTGTATATCATGTATACATGTACATGTGTATCATGTAGGCAACAAACAAGCCATGTAAATGTTATGTATATGTTCCTATTTTTTACTCCTTTCCAAGCATGTAATGTGCTTAATCAGTATGGATACCTTTTCATAACCATTTTTTCTGGATAAATGAAGTGTCGGAACCACAGAATCCCCTTGTTTATGCTTTCTGTCACATGGTAGAAATTAGTTTCAGTTTAACATGCAGATTATTGTCCTTTGAATCAAAATGTGCTACTGTAGAAGTTTTGTTTTACAGCCAGATATATAATACTTTACAGCCCGCCCTTCAGGGCCCTGTTGGTTCTGTCTGGGGTCCCCAGAGGTGGAGAAACATTTAGTTGTCAGTGTGGGAACAGAGGTAAGACTGGGATAGATAATGATCTACAGTTTCTGTACAGCCTTTACTTTGTAATGTAACTGTACTTCATTGTAAATGTACTCCTAGCTTAAAGCATTTTTATTGTGGTTATACCTACAGTTAGTTTATTTGTAAGGTAATCATCTCTTGTAACAATGAAGTTGTTACTTTATGTGATTCCCTTATAGACATTTGGTTTGTTACTGTGTTAGTTAAACTAAAGCAGAATTAAATTTGAACATCTTGTTACAGATTTTACCTTCACTCTGTCTCAATGGAAAAATCACTTCTGTTACAGTTTAACTTGCACATTGTTTCTTTGTAAATGACTCTTTTGATACCTGCAGATCTGTAGCTCATTGGTATGAAAAATTGGAATGAATGTCTCTTTTTTATTTAAAGCAGTGTACTGTTATACTCTTGTTACAATATTAACTACACTTTGTTTCTTCGTAAACATCTCATTATCTACTACAATTTTACGAACACTTTATTTCTTTTTGTTACAGTGCTACTTGGCCTTGGCTAAGGGGGGTTTAGTTCAAGACCACACCCTAATTCTGCCCATTGGTCATCATCAATCCATGGTTCTGGCTCCAGATGATGTCCGAGAAGAAATAGACAAGTATCCTTTAGTTAACGCCTGCTAGGTTAAAGTGAAAGTAGAATGGGTAATTTTACTTCAAAATCAGTGACTCTAAAGAATATCCATTTTTAGCTCACCTCAACGAAGTTGGGGGAGCTTATGAAATACCCTCAGCGTCGGCATCCCAGGTTAAGGTTTTTGGAGCAGTTTTCTTTTCAAGTACTTCTATGGCCTATATTAGTCAGAGATGCATGGAGGATGCTTCTAGTGTGTTTCATTGTACCAGTCAAGGTTTCAGATGCTGCAATTTCAGCTAAAGAATGACCAGGTTAATATTTTGGAGCAGGTTAAAGTTTTTGGAGCAGGTTAAAGATTTTGGAGCAGGTCTCATTTCCAAGTAACTATAAGCCCTATATTGACCAAACTTGCATGGATGATACATCTAAGGATGCACACTACTGAACTTGCTTCGCTGACCTACATTTTCCGGATGAGTGACTAGGTTAAGGTTTTTGGAGTAGATCTCATTTCCAAGTAACTATAAGCCCTATATTGACCAAACTTGCATGGATGATACATCTAAGGATGCACACTACTGGACTTGCTTCGGATGCTGGATCTGACATATATTTTCCGGATGAGTGACCAGGTTAAGGTTTTTGGAGCAGATCTCATTTCCAAGTAACTAAAAGCCCTATATTGACCAAACTTGCATGGATGATACATTTAAGGATGCACACTACTGGACTTGCTTCAGATGCTAAATCTGACCTATATTTTCCGGATGAGTGACCAGGTTAAAGTTTTTGGAGCAGATGTCATTTCCAAGTATCTATAAACCCTATATTGACCAAACTTGCACGAATGATACATATAAGGATGTACACTACTGGACTTGCTTCGGATGCTGGATCTGACCTACATTTTCTGGATGAGTAACCAGGTTGAAGTTTTTGGAGTAGATCTCATTTCCAAGTAACTATAAGCCCTATATTGACCAAACTTGCATGGATGATACATCAAAGGATTCACACTACTGGACTTGCTTCGGATGCTGGATCTGACCTACATTTTCTGGATGAGTAACCAGGTTGAAGTTTTTGGAGTAGATCTCATTTCCAAGTAACGATAAGCCCTATATTGACCAAACTTGCATGGATGATACATCTAAGGATTCACACTACTGGACTTGCTTCGGATGCTGGATCTGACCTACATTTTTTGGATGAGTAACCAGATTGAAGTTTTTGGAACAGATGTCATTTCCAAGTAACTATAAGGCCTATCTGAACCAAACTTGCATGGATGACGCATCAAGGGACGAACAATCTCAAAACTTGCTTCGGATGCTGGATTTGACTTACATTTTCTGAATGAGTGACTAGTTTTAAGTTTTCAGATAAGTCTATTCCCAAGTAACTGCAAGCCCTATCAGACCAAAATTGCATAAATGTTGCATCTAGGGATGCACACTCCTAGATTATTAGTTTAGTGTGGGACTTTGCCTTACTTAAAGACAACATTCGTTGAGGTGAGCTCTGTTATCTCTGATTACCTATGTTTAATCTTGACATCAATTTTAACTATATGAGGGTTATCTGGTAAAATCATGTACAAAATGTTTTTATCGAAAAATAAGGGGCACACTAAGCTAGAATTTTCATCAAATGTTTATCATATTTAAGTGCATCTTAATTGTTTTGATAAAATATAGACAAAAATAAAGGTTTCATTATGCTTGAATGTGCACAGGGTATGGTCCTATGGCACACGGCAATTAGAGAATGCAGGAGAATTATTTCAAAATGGAAGTTTTAAATAGATACGTTGGGGTTAAAATTATCCTGTTCACAATCCAAGGCACAATCGTAAGGTGATATCACACATAATATAAAATCTCATATTTTATTTATTTGAGCATATACATGTGAAATTTACTATGTATATTGATGAAAAATGTACTAAAGAGTACTGAAAATTTTAGAATGCAGTGATGATTATTTTTCACTCTAAACAACTTGTCCATGATTTTACCGGACAACCCTTGCACAGTAGTGAGTACATCAAAATTTTTGAGAATATATGATTTATGTTCAGAGCCACAATCAGGGCTCTTGTTCTCATTTGTCCCAGAGGAGAAAGAAACGAGGGTTGAATGTTGTGGCCCGTGGTTTCTTTTATGATGGCTTCTTTACCAAATATAATTCTGAATGTTGTATCAGAGCCGATATTTTCCTTAAGTCATATTCTGGTACAAAAAAGCACTAGCCAAGTTTTACAAACAGACCAACAGAAGTGTCATCTTTTTTGAAAGAAACTACAAGACACAACATTTGCAGATTCAGGTAGTCTTTAAGTTTTTGTTTAGTTTGTACATATGAATTTCTTCTCACATACATGTAAGCAGTAGATTTGTTAATATATGCAGATGTACAATTAATAAGCTAGAGGCACATTAGAATTCTCAATATTGCATTATTTTCATATCCAGTCAAATCTTGTTATCTCAAACTCGATGGGACTGAGAAAAAACTTCTCGATATCCAAATGCAAGGAATTGAGATATCGAGTGTCAAATACTTAAAGAATAAGTGGTTGGGACTTCCAAATCATTTTGACATATCCATGGTATTTGAGATATTGGTGTTTAAGCTACGAAAGTTCAACTGTATTTTATTTTATTGTAATACAGCCGAATTTCGATATTTAAACACCATGAATTTGTTGAAGTGAATTCGAAGTCCCAACCCCTTGCTCAATGAATTTTACCTTAAATATTTTGAATTATTGGATATCTCTGAGTTTTTTTTCTTGGTCCCATGGAATTTGAGATAACGAGGTTTAACTGTATGTCTTTTTAATTGGAATACTTCATTTTCTTTCAATTAACTTACTTCTTCTTGCAGAAGGATGAATAATGCCGTTTACCCTTCTCAGATTGGAGAATGTAGTTGTTTACTTTAAGATACTAGGGTAATAGAATTCTGTCATAATTTTACAGGCTGTTCCCTTTCCTGATTACCTTAAACAAGAAGCCAAGGAAAGTTTCATGGAGTGTGCTGAGTCAGAGTCAATCAACCTTGATGAAATTCCCAAACATTCTGATCTTAAACAGGTATACTGTAAAAGCAGAAATATTCGTTGGGGATTAAATTTCGTTTATTTCATTGTTAACAATTATTCCCAAAATTAAATCCCACACAAAATTTTTATATGACTACATATTAAATAGGATTACTTTTGAAACATCGAAATTAAATACCCACGAACCCTTTTTAGAGGACAAATTAATTAAATTTGTGCTTCTACAGTATTCCCAAACACTTTGTTTAACATTGAAAAACAGGTATAGTCCAAAATACATGTATATTCCCAAACACTAACCTAAACCAGGAATATTCCCAAATACTAAAATAAAACAGGTATATTCCCAAACACTAAACTAAAACAAGTATATTCCCAAACACCGACCTTAAAACGTGTATATTCCCAAACATGAACTAAAACAGGTATAGTCCAAAACACTAAAAACTAAAACAGGTATATTCCCAAACACTAAAAACTGAATCAGGTATTTTCTCAAACACTGAATTAAAACAGGTATAGTCCCAAACACAGAACTACTGGTCAAGGTAGACTAGATTTAGGATGCTCGCTTTGTGATCAGGAGCCCCGGGGTTCAATTCTCATTGGCTGCGCCTCGTCAAACCTGAAGTAAACATAGGTAGGGACTGTTCCTTCGACAAGCGCCAGCCACTAGAAGTGAAAGTCAGGGGTCTTTTGGATGTGACCTTTAAATCTGTGGTCACGGTTGGCATGATAAAGAACCCTCACTGCTCAGTGGCCCTGAGTGCCGAGTATAGGTCTAAATTTGAAGCCCTTCTCGAATGGGATGTTACACAACATACAATAAATCAATCAATTAAACACTGAACTAAAACAGGTATATTCCCAAACACTGAACTAAAACAGGTAATCTACAAAGAGACCCTTTGTCCTGAATGCTTTTCTTAAGAATGTTTCATGATGCTGCCACCTACACAGAGTTCACCAGCCAGAAAACCATCACAGCTATGAACAGTGTCCAAAACATTCTGAAATAAAACAGTTATACTTCCAAAACAGACCTTGAACTTTGGTATCTTGAACAACAATAATTTGAATATCATGAATATGTTGAAGTGATTTGTAAGTCCCCAACCACTTATTCTTTCAGTATTTTACCCTCAAACCCTAAGATATCTCCAAGTGTTTTCTTGGTCCCATCCAGTTCAAGATAACAAGATTTGGCTGTGTTTCTAAAATCTTTTAGCTTAAACAGGTACACCCCTCAACTCTCTGACCTAAAACAGATATACTCTTCAATGCTCTGACCTAAAACAGATATACTCTTCAACACACTGACCTAAAACAGGTATACTCAACACTCTGACCTAAATCAGATATACTCCTCAACACTCTGACCTAAAACAGATACTCCTCAACACTCTGACCTAAAACAGATACACTCCTCAACACTCTGACCTAAATCAGATATACTCCTCAACACTCTGACCTAAATCAGATATACTCCTCAACACTCTGATACCTAAAACAGATATTCTCCTCAACACTCCGACCTAAAACAGATATACTCTTCAACGCTCTGACCTAAAACAGGTACTCTTCAACACTCTGACCTAAAAACAGATATTCTCCTCAACAATCTGACCCAAAACAGATATACTTCCAAACACTGCCACCTAAGACAAATATACTCCCAAACACTGCCACCTAAGACAAATATACTCCCAAACACTGACTTAAGACAGGTACACTCCCAAACACTCTGGCCTAAGACAGATATACTCCCAAACACTGTGACTTTACACAGATATTACTCTATAAATCATTACTCCTATTTATTGTTTGTTTCAGATTGTTCCAGTAGGTGCTCCCTACTTTTACACAGAACTTCCAACAGGAGAAAAACTTTTACATCGGATTTCAAAAAATTTCCCACTCCAGTTTGGCAGGTAAGGGTCTCTCGAGGTAAAATACTTAAACAGGCCATTTTTTTTATGTGGAGCTCAAAAGCCGTACTAAGGAAGATGATCTACTGGAATTGGTGTCAGTCGATGCACCCACAAATGAAAATAGTACCCATTAATTTCTTTTTAAAATGGTCACATTAATTTAATGTTAAAATTGCTTTAGTATATCTACACCAATACACAGATACCGTGTTTAACAAAAGAACAAGTGAGGACCACGGTACATTGATGGTTGCTGCGGATGAATGTCTAATATAGTGATGCATCGAATTACGTGAATAATTTTGGATGGATGATCAAGAAAAAAGAAAATAATCAGCAATGCGTTAAAATAATAAAAAAAAATTCTGGAATAGGCATACAGTAACTGGAAGGTTAGACACATTGAAATTTAAAGACCAATCTTTACCTTTGTAATTTTACAACCAATTTTTATTGTAAAATCAAAGAAGTGACCTACATTGCAGGGTTTTAGTATACCATATACAAAGCCGGATTGTAAACTATAGCTAAGGTCACAGGCACTTGTTTCGTATACGGGGCACCCCTACTTATTTTTACCACAAGGTACCTAACTCGATTTCAGGCACCCCCGCTTCAAGCTCGTATTTTGTTCATATATCAATCATTAACCTACTTCAAAATTATATCGTTTGCTTCAAGAGACTTTTTTCTTTTCTTCCTTCATTTATAACCCCAACCAGAAGTTGTATCCCATCTAAAGTCTTAATATGTATCGAGGTAACTTGCGAGGAATAAATGAGTGGTTTACAATAAAAAGGCTCAACCAGAGATGTCTGAAAGGATTTATTTGACAAGAAAAAAGTCTCGAGAAGCGAGCGATATGATTTTAAAGTAGGTTAATGATTGATATATGAACAAAATACAAGCTTGAAGTGGGGGTGCTTGAAATCGAGTTAGGTACCTTGTGGTAAAAATAAGTAGGGGTGCCCCGTATACGAAACAAGTGCCTGTGACTAAGGTACTATCATTAGCAGAGAAAACAAAAAAAAAGCGATTCTTAGACATTGCCAAATAGAATAATATTAACGGATTAAAGGAAAGTCTTCGAAATTCAATTGATTGAAAAGAGAGAAGTTAATTTTATTAAACATCATGAGCAGGTGACCCTTTTTGTTTACTATTGACAGTGTCTGGTTAATTTGGACCCAGTTCAATTCCGACCATGGCTTAAGGCCCCACAATAAATGTGATATTTTGTTAACAATATATAACATTATATTTAATTCATCAGAACTTTTGATATTGTTTTTCATGTGTGATGCCATTGAAGCCTTTCAGATTTTATATTTATGAAGGCTACAAAATTTTAAATAACAATGCATTTGCTTACTTAAGGAAGCTCTAAACACTAATGAAAAATGATTTTTAGACTTTGAGAAAATTGTAATACCATATATAAAGGTATACATATTGAGTTTATCTACTTCATTTTCAACATAGGGTACATGCCATATTCCTCCAGGAAAAATGCTCAGAGACAGTGAAGTACAAGTGAACATTAAATCACTGTTACCTACTTTACATTGGGAGAATACATGCAAATAATGTTTTTAATTACTTTATTTTGGTCTGTAATGTTAAGAATACTTTAATCTATTTCAAATTGAGTTATTTGCTGTAGATTTCCACTTATTCCTTTGTTCCTCAAATGAATTAGAATTCTTTGGTGAGCAATGTTTAGAGCTTCCTTAATCAAGCCATCTGTATGCTATTGGTAATTTTCAATTCAGAGAGGTATTAGCTGGCATCCGTCATTGTCAATTCTTCTACATTCATTGCCGAGATTTAAAGAAATGCCATGCTCATCACTGTCCAATAAATCATGAACATTAGGTAAAGATTCAAATCAGAAACATATATTAAACTTGTACTGGTTAAACGAATATTTTACTTTAAAATGTAATACTTATTTAGACCATATCAATGTGTCATTTTCTAAACTGTGTGTATTGCCTAAAACAGCTGATATGTCATTAGAGAGGTATTGAACAGTGTCCATCAGTTAATGTTAATTTTTAATTTAAGAGAGGTATTGGCCAGCGTCCATCTGTTGAACATGCCAGAGAGAGTTGACTGGAAAGTGTGTAAACTTCGCCGCGAAGAAGAGGAAATTCATGCCGAGGAATTCAGAAATAAATTTGAACAGTTTGATTTTAACTTACAGTGACTTAATTACTTTCATTCTGAGGAGGATGAATTTTACCGTTTTAATGTGCAATAGGATGTAGTATTGTAACCTTTCAATTAGACTAAAAGAAAATGAAATATCTTTTAAAAAAAAATTATGAAAACCTTTGAACATTTGCACAAGATTTCAGAGTTGACTTCTTTTCGAAAGACACCTTAAGTAACAATGTATACTGAAATGCAAAGAAGACATGAAATAAAACATAAAACCTTATTGTTTTTCTAGTAACTGCAGTGCATGAAATAAATCTTATCTATAAATACTGATTTAATATACTTCAAGTTCAGTTGTCTTCATTTCAGTACAATATAAAACAAGAGTACTGCCTTAGCTTATAGACAGGTTTGCTCATTAATTAATGTAATTTCAGTACAATATAAAACAAAAGTACTACCTTTATGGACAGATCATTAGTGGTACTTCAGTACACATTTTAACAAATTATCAACATTCATCTTGGATCCTGGTGCTGCACATCAACGTCAAAATATCCCACATATTTTACAACAAAAGGAGTAAATCATTTTCTATATAGGCTGACCAAATCTTAAACTTAATAGAGACAAAATGTTGCAGTATTTACAGGAATCCAAGACATGTCTGTCATGCATAGATGTAAATACCTGATATACAGCTGAATCTGTTAGCAAGGTTGATAAAAATGCAGTTTCTAAGGAAAATGTTAAAATTTCTGACATGATATTAGGAGGAATTTAAATGAGCCTATAAAATTGACTTTCAATTAAGTCTCTTCTATTGAAATTGTTTAGAACTTGTGTCATACAGATCTGAAAAAGCTCAATAAAGCTAAATCATTTGAATGAGCTTAACATCCACACTATACAACCAATTGAAATAAATATGTTCTATTAAATTTTCTCATTAAGTCTGTCCATCAAGAGAACAGAATGCTGAATGAAGACTTTTAAGTTCCTTCACAATTTTTTCCTCAATCTCTTGACCTTGAGAGAGTTCATCGGTTGTCATGGTAATGTCCAGACAGGTATCCCTGGTAACAAGTTTGACCTCCTTTTTCCTTGTTTCCAACAGATTGGCCACAACCAACTACAAAAAATATAATTTCTATCTCCAACATAAAATATAACCAGAAGTCTCTGACGAGACTGTAGCTCTACTGGTTGTACTTATAAAGGAAGATAAAAGTAGCACTTGGACTTGATGCAACAGCAATAAATAGAATAATGATCCTTGGTTTAGTCTCTTATTGTGGCAAGATTTATTGCAATCAGACTAAAACTGTAGGAGGAGTAGCCTTTTAAAACAATTTTACAGAAATTTTGATTTAAGTAACCATGGCAACATCATTCAACAAAATAAAAAAAAAAACATCAATTATGTATCTAAGTGTAGTCTACTTGTATGCCACGTTATACTGAAATCAGACAAAAAGTGTAGGAGGAGTAGCGTTTTGAAAGTATTTCAAGAAAATTTCTATTTTTAGTAACCATGGCAACACCGTTCATCAAAATCCAAAACTGGTACAGAGAATTATGTATCTTAGTGTAATTTACTTGTGTGCTAAGTTATACAAGGGGCATTTCAAAAGTTCTGGCAACTGGTGTGCGGTAAATTAATGAGTGTCATTATCATAAATTAAATTATATCAATCCCTCAAAAAGTCTCCGTTGACCTGGACACACTTTTTCAGTCTTGAAATCCACGTGGAAAATGCTGCCCTATAGTCCTCTTTTGGTATACGCTTCATACACTGGAATACGGCACTTCCGACTGCATGACGACTTTCAAATCGCCATCCTCGGAGGGCTTCTTTGATAACAGCATTCAACCAAAAATCCCATGGAGCTAGGTCAGGACTGTAGGGTGGATGTGGTAAAATGGCAATACCATTTTCCTTTAAATATCTGGTTACTACCTCTGATCTATGGGCAGGTGCGTTGTCATGAAGGAGCTTTATTCCTCTAGTACTGGTTGTTGGTCGGGTCGTTTTATAGTGCTCTACAACCTGAGACAAGACATTCTCTGCATAAAATTGACCAGTAACACTGCTGTGTTCTGGAACCAGAACTTGAGCAACAGTGCCTTTAGAATCAAAAAATAAGGCGTACATTACTCTCTGGACAGACCGGTTTCTGCTTGCAATTTGAGGCCTTGTATCATTTTCACCAATCCAAACTTTATTATTGAGCTTAGTTTCCGGTTCAAAATAATATATCCATGTTTCATCACCAGTTACAATCTCATTTATTCGCCTTTGGTCACAATCTTCATAAATTGTTAGTAACTGTGAAGCCATTTCTACCCAGATGCGCTTTTGCTCTTCCGTGAGAAGATGCGGCATTCATCTAGCACAGACTTTCCTAAGCTTTAAGTTTTCCTTTAAAATTAATGTTAGTTAAGTCTGCTATTTCCTCAACTGTATATCTAGCATCATCAGCTATCGTATTTTGAACAGCGACGATTTCTTTTTTGCCAGATGCACAAACTGGACGCCCGGAACGGGGGTCATCTTCAATTGATTTTCTACCCTCTTTAAATTGAACTACCCATCTTGCTAATTCTCAATATGAAAGAGCATGCAATCCATATACTACATCTAAATCAGCTTCTATTTCTGTTGCCGTAAAGCCAAGCAATGAGCGAATTTTGCAATACGCTCTTTGCTCAACAAAAAAATTGTTCTCCTTATCAGTCATATTTACGCCCAGTATACAGAGTATACCTAATTATGACGTCATTTTAGCAGACCTATACGTCATTTTGAATGTAAAATGACATTACCACTAATGCATATTTGCCTAAGCTTTACAGTGGTATCAGAGTCATTTTAATCCGTAACGTAGTTAAAATTTTGTATACCAGTTGCCAGAGCTTTTGAAATGCCCCTCGTACAAAAATCAGACCAAAACTGTAGGAGGAGTAGCATTTTGAAGGTACCGGGTATTTCAAGGAAATTTCTATTTTTAGTTACTATGGCAACAACGTTAAACGAAATCAAAAATCAATGTAAAGAATTATGTATCTTAATGTAGTCTACTTGTTTGCCAAGTAATACCTTTAGAATAAAAAAATAAGGAGTACATTACTCTCTGGACAGACCAGTTTCTGCTTGCAATTTGAGGCCTTGTATCATTTTCACCAATCCAAACTTTATTATTGAGCTTAGTTTCCGGTTCAAAAAAATATATCCATGTTTCATCACCAGTTACAATCTCATTTATTCGCCTTTGGTCACAGTCTTCATAAATTGTTAGTAACTGTGAAGCTATTTCTACCCAGATGCGCTTTTGCTCTTTCGTGAGAAGATGCGGCATTCATCTAGCACAGACTTTCCTAAGCTTTAAGTTTTCCTTTAAAATTAATGTTAGTTAAGTCTGCTATTTCCTCAACTGTATATCTAGCATCATCAGCTATCGTATTTTGAACAGCTTTTATTTCTGTTGCCGTAAAGCCAAGCAATGAGCGAATTTTGCAATACGCTCTTTGCTCAACAAAGAAATCAAAAATCAATGTAAAGAATTATGTATCTTAATGTAGTCTACTTGTTTGCCAAGTAATACTGAAATCGGAACAAAACTGTAGGAGGAGTAGCGTTTTGAAAGTATTTCATAGAAAATTCTATTTTTAGTAACCATGGCAACACCATTCATTGAAATCAAAATCAATACACAGAATTATGAATCTTAGTATAGTTTACTTGTGTGCCAAGTTATACTGAAATCAGATCAAAACTGTTGGAGGAGTAGCGTTTTGAAAGTTTTTCAAAGAAATTTATATTTTTAGTAACCTTGGCAACACCGTTCAATGAAATCAAAAACCGATACACAGACGGACACCTTACTATCGCATAAGCTCTTCTGGTCTCTGACCATTAGAGCTTATTACTTAGTACATGTAATAAATTAAGGTAGCACAATTTTCTGGTGTCAATATACATCTACATTACTTAATTACCTTGTGCTGATATATGTCTAGGTTACATAATTATCTGGTGTTGATTTTTTTAGGTAACATAATTACCTGGTGTTGATATTTGTGTAAGTTACATAATTACCTGGTGCTAATATTGTCTAAGTTACATACTGACCTGACGTTGATATTTGTCTATGTTACGTTATTACATAGTGTGATATTTGTCTAGGTTACATACTTAGCTGGTGTACTTGGAGGTTTTTTTTGGATTACATAGTAACTTGGTGCTGATGTTTGTCTAGTTTGCACAACTACCTGGACCCTGGTACTTATTTCTAGGTTACATAATTACCTCTAGCTGATATTTGTCCATTACATAATTACCCAGAGCTGATAATTACATGTATTTATATGATATAATTTCCTGGTGCTGATATTTGCCTAGTAACATAATTATTTCAGACTGATATTTGTATAGGATACGTGGTTATCTGGAGCTGATATTTGTCTGGGTTACATAATTACCTGGAGCTGATTAGAGGCTATGTTACAAAATTACCAGGTGCTGATGTCTAAGTTATATAATTATCTCCAGTTGATGACTAGTTACATAATTACCTGGTGCTGATATTTGTCTAGGGCCTGAAGAGATTTGGAGACCAAAATGTCCTTGTTCGTTTCAAGCTGAAAAAAATATAAGTATTGATTATAGTATATTGAGTCCAACAACCAGGTTATCAGAAAATGGCCATGTTGTCCACTTTTTAGGTTTGTTCTCATTTAGAACCTCCTTAAAACTTCAGAAGTATTTGTTTAATGTGACATCTATGAATTGTAGCACAGAAATACATGTACTTCATTAACTTGTATGAATGAAAATATTTTAATGCGTATTTTAAATGATACCAAATACATTATATACAACCCCTTGGATTTAAAATGGTTCATCTTCTATCTTGAAGGATTTTATGTACCTTAAATGACACCACATAGGCCTCTGGTACCCACTCCTTCACCAAGGGCTCCAACATCTTTGGCACAAGTTGTAGGGACAGCTGTAAGGGACCATCTGAGGACTGGATTTTATGTTCTGGCTGTAAACACAGAATAAAATACAAAGGATCATATGGATACAAAAACCAGAAGTCTCTGATGAGACTGTAGCTCTACTGGTCTGTTTGTATAACAAAAGAAAAGTAGCACTTGGATTTGAAACATTGCAACATGCAACAATAAATAGAATTATGTATCTTAATGTAGTCTACTTTTGTGACAAGTTATATTGAAATCAAATGAAAACTAGGAGTAGTAGCGTTTTGAAAGTATTTCACGGAAATTTCTATTTTTAGTACCGGTAACCATGACAACACCATTCACCCAAATAAAAAACAAGAGGCCCATGGGCCACATCGCTCACCTGAGTAACTTTGGCCATGCTGTTCATTACCAGACTTCCCCCCTTGTAATACCTATTGTGGCCCCGCCCTACCCCCAGGGGTCATGATTTGAACAATTTAGAATCAACACTATCCCAGGATGCTTCCACATAAGTTTCAGTTTTTCTGGTCCAGTGGTTCTTGAGAAGATTTTTAAAGATTTTTCCTATATATTTCAATGTTTCCCTATTGTGGCCCCGCCCTACCCCCGGGGGTCATGATTTGAACAATTTAGAATCTACACTATCCCAGGATGCTTCCACATAAGTTTCAGCTTTTCTGGCTCAGTGGTTCTTGAGAAGAAGATTTTTAAAAATTTTCCTATATATTTCAATGTAAAACTTGGATTCCCTATTGTGGCCCTGCCCTACCCCTGGGGGTCATGATTTGAACAATTTAGAATCTACACTATCCCAGGATGCTTCCACATAAGTTTCAGCTTTTCTGGCTCAGTGGTTCTTGAGAAGAAGATTTTTAAAGATTTTTCCTATATATTTCAATGTAAAACTTGGATTCTCTATTGTGGCCCTGCCCTATCCCCGGGGGTCATGATTTGAACAATTTAGAATCTACACTATCCCAGGATGCTTCCACATAAGTTTCAGCTTTTCTGGCTCAGTGGTTCTTGAGAAGAAGATTTTTAAAGATTTTTCCTATATATTTCAATGTAAAACTTGGATTCCCTATTGTGGCCCCGCCCTACCCCCGGGGGTCATGATTTTTACAATTTAGAATCTACACTACCCCAGGATGCTTCCACATAAGTTTCAGCTTTTCTGGCTCAGTGGTTCTTGAGAAGAAGATTTTTAAAGATTTTTCCTATATATTTCTATGTAAAACATTGATTCCCTATTGTGGCCCCGCCCTACCCCCGGGGGTCATGATTTGAACAATTTAGAATCTACACTACCCCAGGATGCTTCCATATAAGTTTCAGCTTTACTGGCCCTGTGGTTCTTGAGAAGAAGATTTTTTAATGACCCCACCCTATTTTTGTCTTCTCTTGATTATCTCCCCTTGTGAGGGGACTTGGCCCTTCATTTTAACAATTTAAATTCCCCTTCACCCAAGGATGCTTTGTACCAAGTTTGGTCAAAATTGGCCCAGTGGTTCTTGAGAAGAAGTCAAAAATGTGAAAAGTTTACAGACGGACGGACAGACAGACAGACAGACGGACAGACGGACGGACGGACGACGGACAAAATGTGATCAGAAAAGCTCACTTGAGCCTTTGGCTCAGGTGAGCTAAAAACAGAAATACATATTATGTATCGTAGTGTATTCTAACTGTGTGCCAAATTAGATTGAAATCAGACCAAAATTGTAGGAGGAGTAACGTTTTGAAGGAATTTCACAGACATTTCTATTTAAAGTAACCATGGCAACACTGTTCATCAAATTCAAAAACCAATGCAATAAATCATGTATCTTAGTATAGTCTTCTTGTATGCCTAATTATATTAGAAGCAGACTAAAACTGTAGCAGGAGTAGTGTTTTAAAGGAATTTCACAGAAATTCCTATTTTTAGTAACCATGGCAACACCGTCCATCGAATTCAAAAACCGATGCAATAAATTATGTATCTTAGTGTAGTCTACTTGTGTGCCAAGTTATATTGAAATCGGACCAAAACTGTAGAAGGAGTAGCGTTTTAAAGAAATTTCACAGAAATTTCTATTTTTAGTAACCATGACAACACCGTCCATCGAAATCAAAAACCGATGCACTAAATTATGTATCTTAGTGTAGTCTACTTGTGTGCCAAGTTACATTGAAATCGGACCAAAACTGTAGGAGGAGTAGCGTTTTAAAGGAATTTCACAGAAATTTCTATTTTTAGTAACCATGGCAACACCGTCCATCGAAATCAAAAACCGATGCACTAAATTATGTATCTTAGTGTAGTCTACTTGTGTGCCAAGTTATATTGAAATCGGACCAAAACTGTAGGAGGAGTAGCGTTTTAAAGAAATTTCACAGAAATTTCTATTTTTAGTAACCATGGCAACACCGTCCATCGAAATCAAAAACCGATGCACTAAATTATGTATCTTAGTGTAGTCTACTTGTGTGCCAAGTTATATTGAAATCGGACCAAAACTGTAGGAGGAGTAGCGTTTTAAAGGAATTTCACAGAAATTTCTATTTTTAGTAACCATGGCAACACCGTCCATCGAAATCAAAAACCGATGCACTAAATTATGTATCTTAGTGTAGTCTACTTGTGTGCCAAGTTATATTGAAATCGGACCAAAACTGTAGGAGGAGTAGCGTTTTAAAGGAATTTCACAGAAATTTCTATTTTTAGTAACCATGGCAACACCGTCCATCGAAATCAAAAACCGATGCACTAAATTATGTATCTTAGTGTAGTCTACTTGTGTGCCAAGTTATATTGAAATCGGACCAAAACTGTAGGATGAGTAGTGTTTTGAAAAATTGTTTACAGACAGACGGACAGACAGACAGACAGACAGACAGACAGACAGACAGACGGACGGACGACGGACACCTTACTATCGCATAAGCTCTTCTGGTCTCTGACCAGTAGAGCTAAAAACTGGATTTAAAGTTACAGCTGTAAACACAAATTATAAACAACTAACAAAGGATTATCTGAGGACTGGATTTTATGTTCTGGCTGTAAACATAAATTATAAAATAGAAATATGTCCATAGGACATGAATGCCCCAGTCAGGGTTCATTAGAAATGTAACATGAAAATTTATATCAGTGTATGAAGTTTGATGAAAATATATTGAATACTTTCTTTATAACTGAATTTTACACAAAATAAGTAGTAAAGTAAAAGGTCATTAGGCAGGTCAAGGTAAAAAAAAAATTGAGCTAAATGCAAATTTTAGAAAAGTAAGGTCAAAGGAAAGGCATAAGCTTACTTAAAAATATCTTGAATAGTTTCTTTGAAACTGAGCTAAATGCAAATTTAAGAAAAGTAAGGTCAAAGGAAAGGTCATGGTAAAAAAAATGTTGATAAAATTCAATAGCATTCAACAAAATTTTACATTTTTAAATATCTTTGTCCAAGATAATACTATAATTTGTAAACACAATTGATTTCTACGTAAAGCTACTGGTTCAATGATAGGTGTAGTTAAAATAAAATCATGTGCAGGAGAAAGAAAAGAAACAGAGAAGGAGGGGCAGGCAGGGCTTGTAGCACATGAATTTACAGAATCAAGAGCATGCAAATTATTATGCGAGCCAATTGCTTAATCACATCGTGAAACCAAAAACATAGTTACTCCTTAAGTATCAGCAAATGAAGTTTGATAAAAACATCTTGATTTGTTTCTTAAAACTGAGCTAACACAAATTTGAGAACAGTGAAGTCAAGGTCAAAGGAAAGATCAGGGTAAAAAATGTTGATGCAATTGAAAACCTCTCATCTATATATATAAGCAGATGAAGTTTGATAAAAATATCTTGCATAGTTTCTTTGAAACTTAGCTAAACACAATCATATTTAAGAAAAGTGAGGTTAGGGTCAAATGTAAGTCAAGGTAAAAAAAAAACTGATGAAGTTGAATAATTCTCACCAAAAAGTAAGTATCAGCCTACAAGGTTTGATGAAAAAAAAAAACTTAAAAGTTTCTTTGAAACTTAGCTAAAAACAAATTAAAGAAAAGTGAGGTGAGGAAAGACAAATGTTGAAAAAATTAGAATACTTCTCATCAATATGTATCAGCATATAAGGTTCAATAAAATATCTTAAATAATTTCTTTGAAACTGGGCCAAACAATAAAATAAGAAAAGTGAGGTCAAAGGAAAGATAAAGTTAAAAAAAATGTTTTTCACACGAATAACTCTCATCAATATGTATTGAAATATGAAGTTTTGTAAAAATATCTTGAATAAATTCATTGAAAATTAGCTAAATACAAATTTTAGGAAAGTGAAGTTAAGGTCAAAGAATGGTCAACATGTTGATGAAGTTGAATAGCTCTCACCAATAAGTATCAGTATATAAGGTTTGAAAAAAAAATGTTGAATAGTTTCTATAAAACTGAACTGAACACACATTTTTGGAAAGTGAGATGAGGTCCAATGAAAGAACAAGGTAAAAGAAAATGTTGATGAAATTGAAGAACTCTCATAAATATGTTTCAGCATATAGAATTTGCGAAAAGTTGATTTTAAATGAGATTACTGATATCCTTGTATCATCAACTTATTCATCATTAGCCTGACTCATTTTAGAAATTCTTTGTATGTAGATCATGCTCTTGCATATCAAATCAATGGGAGACATTAACCCCATACCCAGGTAATAATGGTACAAGCTTATCTTTTAAAAAGATTGATGAGCTAGCGCTGTAGCATAATAAAATACAGAAGATATCTGAACCATCTGTTAAATTTGCTGAATCGATTAATTATTAATTAGAAGGCACATTGGAGCACTGGGGGGGGTCATAATTCAGAATGGTGAATCTAAGAGTGGGCTTCAGGTCAGCAATGGCATAACTCCTAACTGTGCTTTAAGCATTCTGTATTCTACTGTAATTTCAATTTGGAGGTGAAAAAAAGGTCAGTAGAACCAATGAACATCTAGTTTAAGGTCAAGATCTAGTAAATGACTTTAGACTGTCTTTTTTGTGCTAGATCCATTATGACGTCATAATCAATTTTAACTTTATTTTTCCCGTACTTTACGGCTCTAATAGAATTATGTAGAAAATAAATTACTTTCATGGAATTCAATTTGAAATCATGTAAAAATTAATCCCGATACCTGTATTCAATTTGATTTGATTTTAAAGAAGAGACTAAAAACATGCAAATTACCGTTTTCTGAGAGACTGTAGGCAATCTGGATACCTTTTATTTGTCTGATATGGAAAAAACTCCCATATTCGTGTCTGATTTCCTTGATTTTTCATTGAAAATGACAGTTTAAAATATGATTTTTCGTCTTGTTTATCTACAAATTATGCCCCGATACACCTTATTTGACCAAGCTATAGTTATAAAGCATCATTAAAGGAATTTATTTCTCAAATTTAAGAAATCTGTAGGCACTTTTCATTTACTAGATCTTGACCTTAAAATATTCCAGTGTGGTACTGTTTTTTAGCAATCGCATCTTCTCGGAACTTTCCGGCAAGCTCGGTAAACATATCCGAGGTTGCGGCGATTTTCCGAACTTTCCGGAAAAATCAATGAAGGTAGATTAGAAAAGCTAGGTATTCATTACAATTTTAGAAATAACAGTCTTCGTTTTATAAGACCCGAGTAACTGTTACTTTTTGTTCATTTATGTGCAGGATAGACAACAAAACACGAAACTTCAGATCATGTATTTTCAGATGATAAAAACTAAACTGACATGTCTTTCCGACATACTCTGAAAAGATTTTTCTCAGAGCTTGCCGAAATTATCCAGGAAGGTGGTATAACTGTGAGGAAAGCTAGATGTCTAGAATCTTGGCATTATATGACCTAAGTTTTTCTTGTACTTTTATGTGTAGGTTAGACAATAAATAAAAAAAAATTCAGAATCCGGATCTAGACTGGTATTGCCTGTCTCTAACATAAGAAATGTATATCGCACATATCAGACAGGAAAGGCTAGTGTAAATTCTGATCATATCTATATTTGTATGACAAAACGAAATTGTTATCGCACAGTCTATCTACAGTAGTTTTCCCAGAATGCCCGACCGTGAAGTCGAGCATGCGTATTCCAGAAATATAGACTAACGTAGTTGCTAGCGCTCGAGAGTGCTAGCAATAATGCTACATAAATAAGTAGTTCAAATCTTATAGTGCTTTTTTATATGTTGTAAAAATGCTATCATAATCATTTTTTTTCATGGAGTATTTTTTGCATTTGTAACAAGAATGGAGAAAATGTGTGGTTAGTCTGGGAATCGAACTAATTACCTCTGCATCATTTGTCAGATGTTCTAACCACCCAGCTACCCAGGTCAATATCTACAGCTCAAATCATTACACATATACTTCAAATTGTGTACTTTTCATTGTTGAATTAGTATAAAGAGGAAATATGACTGTAGAAAAACAATACTTGGTATCGCTATTACCTTGCCACGGTTATTTAAGGGCATATGCAAAATAGTTTGAACTTAATTTTCTTTTTCCCTGGAGTTGAAGAGTTCCAATACTTAAAGGAACTGTGTGATTCATTTTAATGTCTATATATGTTGTTGTACACTTCTTTTAAAACAAGTTTTAATAAACAGAACATCTAGAATATATGTTAAGTAATTTTTGTATATTTTTCTTTGAATTATACAAGAATTTTCATCAGTTGATATCTTTTCAAAACCTCTGGTAATGCAAGCTGATTTTTTGTCTACAAACATCTGATGGCACTATAATCTTAAATTAAGAATATCTTGAAAAATTATCAGTAGGTAAAGTACGTTGCGTATGTCCTTAACTTAACTGCCACTCTTTGCAAGATCAATTTGGGGCAAAGCACTGTTTATGGTAGTAACAATTGAATGATTTGAAAAATTAGTACGCTGAGAGTAAAATATATTGCCATGGTGCACTTCAGATAATAAGTCATTTTATTTAGAACATTTAGAGTTTTTATCAACTTTCAAAAGTAACATTTTTCAGAAAGAAATGGTTGAATTTAATAGAAGTGTTGGCTTAGTGGAAAGTATCTACAAAAATGAAATGGGGAAGAGAACTCCTTCCAAATTTTATCAATGATGTGCACCGAATATTTAGCAAGATATTTTACCAGGACTTCTTTCTTATATGTCCTTAAAAAAAATCTACAGTAAGCGATCTCATAGTACATTGAACAGCACATTGTCCCCAGCTGAAGGACGTTTCCTACCTCCACTATTAAAGAGTTCTATTAACTAAAGTTAAGAAATGCAATATCAAGTATTAAGAAATGTTGTTCCTTTTTTTAACAGATCATGTGAACTTAGACTTCTTAAGTAGATGTATTTCATGAAGCTTGCTACTAAAAAACATGCCTGAGAAAAATTATGATGATACTTGAAACTGTATTTTAATGAATATTTCATTAAGGTTATAATCAAGACACTGACCATTTGATCTTTTGGGATGTAGAAGTCTGCCACAGCAGCTGCTAGGTACAACATGGCTGATCTCCCTAGACTCTGTAGACAGGTGGAACACACCTGAAGCAGGTGTAAATAATCAGACAGGGTCTGGAATTCCACCATTAGTAGTGAGCGTTCCTTCTGGACTTGTTGATAGTCACGTAAAACACACGACAGTCTCTCCTGGTACTCTGGCTTTACTGCAGGTATAATTGACAAGATTTTGACAGTGTTTAATTAAATTGAGGAAATAATGGAATTTTTAAGTTTTGTGTGGATATACCAATTATCCACAAAATTACACCCTTAATGAGTACTGAAGTATAGGCTTTCTTTTTCATATCGATTGCCCACCAAATTAAGTCCCTATGAACCTGTCAATTTTTTTTGCAATCTACAAAAATTGGCCTTCAGGAATTATATTGATTTTACAATAAAAACATATTAAACCAAACCAGTCATATAACGTTGTACCAAAGAGTAGAAAACTGATTTGGGAAGAGATTTTAATTTTATAAACTATAATAATTTTGACAGAATACATTGGAACATGACATTGGTTACATGTATGTTTGCCATGTTAACAATATTTTTTTCTTATTAATCAATTTTGGATTAATTCAGTCCAATCCAACAATCCAATCCATTTATTGTAAACATTTCAAAATTACAGAGAATAAAATTGTTTCAAATTTAATTTTTAATGTATTTTTGTCTCACTTTTATTTATCGATTATTTACCAGTCTACCTGACCATTAAAAACTATACAAGTATCTTTCAGTATTATAAATTAAAAAACTCTTGTACAATTGTTTTATTATTTCGACCTATCAATTACATTATGAACAGTGATTAATTACCAAACATAAATAACAAAAAGAAAACTACTCTCAGAGAAAAGTACAAATTTCCCAAGAAGATCAATAGAGCCCTGCCCAGCAACAGGAGCCTTGAACTAGTGGTCAAGATTTCACAAATCTGGTAGAAACACCCTTGCTAGCCATTACCATGCACTTTGTTTGCCAAATACTTAGGGACAGAGAAGAAGATTTTCGAAGAATTTACGCATTTCTCACCTTATAATCAATAGATCCCTAACACCAGAACCCCTGACCCAGGGGCCATGAATTTCAATTTTTTTCAAATATGCTATGTACGCAGTCACTTACTTTCCTTAAAAATTTGCCAATGTTTTTGAAGTGCATATTATGCAATTTCATGTGTAGTGGCATTCAAAAAAATCTGTTTTATTTTCTACCTGCAGATTAAACAGAAATAGTGATTCCATGGAATTTGACTCCATGGAAAAAAGTATCTTTACAGAAATCAATAGATCCCTGCCCTAACACTAAAACCCCTGACCCAGGGGCCACGGATTTCATAACTTTGGAAGCGGCACTCTTCCTCATCATAACCCTGCACTTAGTTTTTTTGCTAAATACCTTGGAACAGAGGAGATTTTCAAAGAATTAATGCAATTTCACTATATAATCAATAGTGCCTTGCCCTAACAACAGAACCCCTAACCCAGGGCCATGAATTTCAAAATCAAAATTTTGGAAGAAGCACTCTTGCTAATCATAATCAGTTCGTCTGCTCAATATGGAGGGGGGAGAAGCTTTTAAAAGAATAAATGCATTTTCACTATATGATCAATAAAATCCCACTCTATCTCCACAACCCCTGATCCTGAGGCCATCAATTTCATAATATTGGTAGAGGGCTCAACGCTTATTACAATCGTTCCAACAGTTTGACTGTTTGATGTACAGGAGTAAAAAGAAGATTTTTAAAGATTGCATTAATTTTAATTGTTTTAGCCAGGGCCTACCCTCAGACCCCTGTGTGGGTGGGTTGGTGGTGGTGTTTGTGGTGCTGGTGGTGAGGGGGGTGTTAGGGACCATTAAATTCATAATTTTTCAACTTCTGCTGTTCAAGAGAAGAAGCTGATTAGAAATGATCAAAAGTTTACCACCAACACACAGGATGCACGACAATGACAGGGTTCGAAATTCACTATATACAACTCGCAAAATGCGAGTTAGAATTCCCAAATTGCGAGTGAAAAATTAGGTAACTCGCAAAAACTTGCGAGTTGATTTTTTTGCATTGAAACTGTAACAAAATTATATAATATGACAGAACACAATGCTTTTGATTTAAATCAGTAATTAAACTAAAAGTCACACTGAGTTGTATTTTGTGTATTGCACAATAGTTACTTTTTCCTTAAGTTACATGTATTTAATTTATATAAATTTAACTTTATATGAAAATTGCGAGTAGTCTTATAATATTGCGAGTTCACTTTATTGGTACTCGCAATTATTTGCGAGTTGTAATTTTAGGGAGTTTCTAACCCTGAATGAACAAAAAACAGATAGCAATATGTCACCTGAATGACTCAGGTGACTTAAAAATAGTGTGTAAAAATAACACAGGGTGAAAATAACTCTGTTTACGATAATCATATTCTCGTCTTCTTCTACCTTACCATCACGTTGCCCACGTGGTACAGTGGTTAGAGCATCTGCTCTAGAGTCGAAATGTAAGGAGTTGATCCTTACATTGCGGGTTCAAATCCCACTGTGGGATGTGGAGACCGGTCCTTCAGATGAGACCATAAAAACCAAGGTCCAGTGTTGCAGTAGGTGCTGACATGAAATAGATCCCTCACTGCTCAATGGCCCTGACTGTCGAGTATAGGTCTAGATTTAAGGCCTCCACCAGCAAGTGGTGGAGTCTCCACATGAATGAAAAATTCTTGAGAGGGATGTTAAACAACAAACAAACCTTACCATCACAATATGTTAAGATTCTAAATTTTCCTACCATTAACTAACTAGGATGATACATTTTACATCAGGGTTTGGCTTGTCATGTCTCCTTGTTGTAACTTAATGAGATGATACCTTTACAACTTTAACATCAGAGTTTGGCTTGTCATTGTCTACTTGTAGTAACTTAACGAGATGTTACCTTTAACTTAGTGAGATTTTACCTTTAACATCAGAGTTTGGCTTGTCATTGTCTACTTGTAGTAACTTAACGAGATGTTACCTTTAACTTAGTGAGATTTTACCTTTAACATCAGAGTTTGGCTTGTCATTGTCTACTTGTAGTAACTTAATGAGATGTTACCGTTAACTTAGTGAGATTTTACCTTTAACATCAGAGTTTGGCTTGTCATTGTCTACTTGTTGTAACTTAATGAGATGATACCTTTAACTTAACGAGATTTTACCTTTAACATCAGAGTCTGGCTTGTCATTGTCTAGCTGCAACAAGTCGAGGAAATTGTATCCTGAGAAATGACGTAAAAATGGCTTTAATGATCTGTTTCTGTGGAGAAATATAACAGCATATCCTTCCTTAAGGAAATATCTGAAGAAATGACAAGAAAAATATCTTTTGTATTTTGTATTTGAACATGAACTCATTTCACACCATAAAGTCCTACTGTATTAATGGGTATTTTCTGTATAACGAGTATTTTCTGTATTTTAAAATGGGTATTTTCTGTATTAATGGGTATTTTCTGTATAACGAGTATTTTCTGCATTAATGGGCATTTCCTGTATTAATGGGTATTTTCTGTATAACGAGTACTTTCTGTATAACGAGTATTTTCTGTATAACGAGTATTTTCTGTATTAATGGGTATTTTCTGTATTAATGGGTATTTTCTGTATTAATGGGTATTTTCTGTATAACGAGTATTTTCTGTATAACGAGTATTTTCTGTATAATGGTTTTTTTCTGAGGGTGGAAATTTTTGTGATACTTGCTATTTCCACCATGGAAGAGTTATAGTTCCTAATGCGCTCTTTTGTGAAAAAGTCAGAAAATGTACAAATCTCGCGGGATTTCTGGGACAATTGTAACAACATGTAAAAAATATGTTAAATGTCCATGAAAAAAATGCCTAACAAACATGCAAATGAGACATTGTATTGTTGTGGACTTAACATGCGTCAGAAGTAGAAAAGACAACATCAATTTATTCACCACAGAAGTTGTTGACAAGTCTTAGTGTTGATGGTCATCTCTAAATACATTGACTTATGTACATGCCACAGAAACATTGTAATGTTTATCAATATGCCTATTAATTATTCTATTATTTAACTTGAATGACAAATACATTTATCATTCAAAATTGGACTGAGATTGACATGTTTGTATTTTCCGCTACGTCATTGTTGTCCCAGTGAGACAACCAAATGTGCCTCTAATTTGAAGAGTTCCAGTAATGGAAATAGAAAGTATTAGACTCCTTTATTAAAGGTAGCAAATTAATTCTGCATATTTAATTTCTGCGGATGCAATAATCCGCTAAAATAATCATTTAGGAATATGACTATCTGATATGAATTCAGGATTTGGTAGAAACATGGCAAGGTTTTATGTATTTTAATACAAGACTGACATTCTGACTGTGTTCAGGGAGAATCACAACTATAAAGTCGCCCGCATGGCGCAGTTGTTAGAGCGTCTGCTCTAGAGTCACAGAGTAAGGAGTTTATCCTTACGTCGCAGGTTCGAATCTAACTGCGGGACGTGGAGACCCGTCCTTCAGATGAAACGGTATAAACAGAGGTACCGTGTCGCAGTAGGTGTTGGCACAAAAAATATCCCTCACTGCTCAATGGCCCTGAGTGCCGAGTATAGGTCAAAATTTGTAGCCCTCCACCAGCAAGTGGTGGCGTCTCCATATGAGTGAAAAATTCTCAAGAGGGACGTTAAACAACAAACAATCAATCAACAACTATAAATTAAGTCTGCTGCTCTACTTTCTTTAAGTAAGTGTCCAAATAACATTTTTTCCGCACCCCAGTAAGCATTTCTCTTCATAATTAAACAACTCTTAGTTATAAAATTACAGGTTAAATCAGACTAAACAATTTCCTTGACATCAGCCCCACATACCATGTCCGCCCGCGTGGTGCAGTGGTTAGAGCGTCTGCTCTAGTTTCGCGGAGTAAGGAGTTGATCCTTACGCCGCGGGTTCGAATCCCACTGTGGGACGTGGAGACCGGTCCTTCGAATGAGATCGTATAAACCGAGGTCCCGTGTCGCAGTAGGTGCTGGCACGAAAAAGATCCCTCACTGCAGCTCAATGGTCACAAGTACTGAGTATAGGACAAAATTTGCAGCTCTCCACCGGCAAGTGGTGGCGTCTCCATATGAGTGAAAAATTCTCGAGAGGGACGTTAAACATTACATACAAACAAACAAAACACATACAATGTCTGACAAGAAAAGATGATTCATTTACATAATAGAAAATGGTAATTTACCAGTGCATTTTCTTTCAAAGCATACTTGACTGCGATTTTGGGGAGGGGGTACTCCATGTAATTCGGAGTTAGATACCTGGTATTTTTACTAAGGGGTAAAAAATTATAACAAAAAACAAGTGCCCGTTACAAGTCTTTCATTGAATCATTCACGTTTCAACAGCTGTTCAAAGGATACTCAGTAGAAGAGGCGCCTCTAGATCCCACGCTGAAGTTATCAATGAATCTTACAGTTTTACTCTCTAGAGGGACCGTGGTACCACCGCTCTAAAAACAGAATAAACCTTATATATATACGAACAGCTGGTAAAAACGAAAGTGAAAGTAGGTATTGGAGCATCACAAAATGCCTAAAATTCACATTATTTTAAGTAAATGTAACATTATAATTGTACTCACTGTGACTAAAACAACTTTGCGATCAACATCTTTCTGGTGTTCAATGAAATCTAACACTTCTGACCGCTTTTCTTCAAGTTTGTCAGGCACTGAACTTTGTCTTAGAAACTTTGCGGCCATTTCAAATTAATTTATTCGTAATATAATTCGAAATTTTCAAGGGTTTTTCGTTCAATTATAAACATTATTGAATTTTTTTTTAATGTATGTTGAATTTTAATTTTAAATGTATGTTGAATTTTGATTATTTATTAAGCTAACAGTACTCACTTCAAGCACGTAGCATCACCCAAATCATCCTAATGGAGTGGAGGCAAAGATAGTGTAATATGGTAATAGGAGAAATCCTTAGGTTAGAACAAATTCACGTCTAGGCAAATAATCCGTGTATTTTCAAATAGAATTTAAAAATAACCTCGCTTCCATTTATTTTCATTATTTATTTTATTCTGTTGGGTTTTTTTTTTTTTTTTTTTTTTTTTTTTTTTTTTTGTTGTTGTTGTTGTTGTTGTTGTTTGTTTTTGTTTTGTTTTTTTAATTGTTTTTTTTTTTTGTTGTTTTTTTTTGTTTTTTGTTTTTTGTTTTTGTTTTTGTTTTTTGTTTTTTGTTTTTGTTTTTTTTGCATAAAATTTTACAAGCGCCAATGCTTTGTGTTGTACATTTTTGAAGAATTAAAGATATTTCGGAAATAAGAAGTTACAATCATATATTTATGTGAATTGTTTACATTCCAATTAACCGAAAATTAATGAACATGAACGTTACTAAAGTTGTTATTGGAATATGTCTCCGCCTCGCTTCCCCGTGGGTTGATGTGTAGGACGATATGGGGGCGATAAGTTCCCGCCCGCGGATTATCGTCAGAGATTTTTTCCCGCGATAATAATGTCTGTCACACCAGACTGGTTATTTTTTCTGTTACGAGGTTTTACATCAATGAATACAGTGACATTCTTCTTGTCCATTATATCATATAGCACGGACTTCTGTTCTCGATAGGACCATGATGGTGTTTCGTCTTCTTTCAATCCTCCTCCTTTTGATGGGGGTTCCAGAATTGACCCTCGCCAATACCCTGCCTCGTCATTCCCAGAAAGGTAAATTCTTTGTATAATAACCTACAGATTTTAGGTAAAACTTCATGAGTTATTCCACACTCTAATGTTCCTGGAAAACTAATAGAAATGCATGAATGGAAAATATTAGAATGGACTAGGTCTTCAAAATTCTGGCTAATTAATTCCCAGAAAGTAGTATTTGTAAATTTGGGGACATTTTTAAATTTTTAGATGATCATGCTTAGTACAGTTTATTTCAGGCGTAAGCTTTCTAAACAACCAGTGCGATTTCTTCTTATTCGCCTTGCTTGCATTAGAACTGCAAGATTTTTTTGTCCGTCTTTTTGGTTGATTTGTTCAATTTTATTGGTTTCCTTTTTTCCCCATTTTACTGCAAGATCGTCTAATGAAAATCTCGGTCTTAAATTCATTGACACATATTAGATAAGTTAAAATCTCTTTGACGATAAAAAACTATAAAAAGAATTCTATAAGAAACCCTTTACTCAATAATTAGAGAATTGTTAGTCATACATGTATTTTTTTTCTATGAGAATATCTTTATTATTGGTGAATTCATAAATTTGTTTCCGTTTCTTCATTATACATGTACTAATAACTTGAATTCTCCTATCTTTGAGTAAAGAACAGTCTTATAATAGCATTTTCCCCTTTATTGTGTATTTATAGAAAAATGTACTACTTTATGTCTATATTAGAAACATAGAAAAATCGTAAGTTTATGAGACACGGCTAGGTTCTTGCGTTCCATTTATCAGATCAAATCTACAAGGTATACATGACCAGAGGCATTCCAGACGGCGAAAAGCACTTGTATAAATATGGACAAGAAACCACGTTTTTGGAATTTAAATTAGAAGCATATTTTTTTAGGATGACTAAATACCTGTAAAGTGTGTCAAAATACAAAAGCTGAAGGATAGATAATTTACAATATTTCACAATCTGTTTGACAATGATCAAAAATATGATTTATATTCAACTTAGCGGGTAGTTCTTTCCATAAACCTTGCAGTGTTATTTAAAGCTATATATATATGCCGTATCTGAGCTAAAAAATAAAAATACGAGATTAAGTGTAAATAAACATGATGTATTTTATTTACATTCAAAATAAAACTTTCACTGATTTTGAACTTGAATAATCTCATGTTTCCATAGGTAAATGATTTTAAACTTAATTAAATGCGGAGTCCTTAAATAAATCGGTTATTGTTTTAAATTTTTAATATCTTTGAAACGCGGTTGATTTAAATTGTGTAATTAACAGGAAAGTCCTATCTTTATATAAAGTAATAAAACAAATAGAAAGATCGTTTTAATTTTAGTTAGTCTGACCTTATATTTAAAAAAAAAAAAAATACGCCATATAAGTCTGAACTTATATAAAAAAAAAAAAATACGCCATATATGATTTTAAATACATAAACATATATTCGGTTTAACCCTGCAAATTAATAAATGTAAAGAGTTATCCTCTAATTTACGGATATTATCTATGTGACTTAGATTCTTATAAACCTTTATATATACATGAATTGCCATTATATAATTAAGATCGCATTATTTTTTTACTATATAGGGTTTTTTCATCTACGACGCATTCATTGTTCTATTTTGTCGCTTACAAACACTTATATTTCCTTTTCCTATTTTAGCTACAGAGTCTATGCCTGTAATCCTAGAAATCCACGATTCTTCAGGTAGATATAGGCGAAGCTTAGACGACACACCTCCTGAAAACCTACACGTCAAAATAACGACAAACTCAGACGTAACGTCTTTATACGTGCGACGTAAGCGACGCCACGTGACGCAGCCCAAAATTTACAGCGCCACCAAGAATGGGTTTATTCAGGAGGAAACCGTACAAACAGGGGTGAATATACATTCATATTTTAGCCTGCATACCTTATTTTCATTAGATGAGTAGTGTAAGAAATTTAAGTGCATGAATGTGGCGTGGGTTTTTTTTTTCAATCTTAGTCAGATTGGTCTTGTCAATATCTTTACCTAACTATATCTTTGACAGAAGAGTATATTCTACGTAAACAACACAGATAAGACTGCCATCACGCTCACTTGGAATAATATGACGTCACAGAAATTTGTAAGAGCACTAGAATATAAAGTTAAAGCTTTAAATTCTGTTGAACATGCATTTATTGGAAGTCAACATCTTGATTTATTACATAATTTAATTCTGAAGTAGAATTGTCTTATAATTAATAATTACATGCATTTTAATAGAATGCTTTATCTGTATCGAATTAAATGTAAATTCTAGGTCCATGCAATACTTTATCATTCTAAGTATTGTTTTGTATATTTATATTTCTGCTGTGTTCTAGTACGGAAGTTTCGTCAAAGACGGCCATTCTCATTTAATAGAACCGGCCACGGTGACCGGAGACACGCCCGCGGGGGAGATAGGCCCCCACGTAGTCAGTAGGGTAGAACTCGTGGTGGATTACTTCCGCGACGCCGTGGTCATTCAAGGTACCGGTCATATTGTTTTGAAGAATTTGTCATACATTTCTACGATGGGCAAGTATGTTCGTTTAATTGTTATGCACCTCCATAAAAAGCGTATTTACAATTTGCAGTAAATATTGAAATCTAAATTTGATGCTTTATTTTCCAGACAGCGAAGATTCGCCATTAAAAGAGGATAGTCAAAGAATTAGTCGCGAACGACGTCACACAAGACGGAACCAGAAAGCCAATCGAAAACGTCATTTGACCCGACCACGTCGTCAGGTGATCAAAAACAAATTGTATGTGGAGTATGGTATAGTAGCTGACTACAAGAATTACCAAAGGTTTGTCATCTTATTTCCATACAAATTAAAAACATCATACAATTTGGTGTGTTGAATGTACACAAGTTTGATTAACTAGATAAAAGTAACCCCATGAAAAACCTCATACTATTTAATGTATTACATGTACAATTAAACAAATCCGCTTAGCTATGTATAAGTAACCCCATTAAAAACGCAATGCGTTGTATACACACAAGTCTGCTTAGCTAGATATAGTATAATGTGAAAATAGCCAACAGTAATCTTGCTCGAAGTCCAGCCAAACAATACAAATTGTGAGCAGAGCAAAGACGGACCTCTGAAAACAAGGCGGGATCAGGTGCCATGAAGGAGTAAGCATCCCCTGTCGACTGGTCACACGCCATTAAGACTTCATTCAATTTAAAGTGTTACATGTACACAAGTCTACTTAGCTAGGATGAAATATGGAGATAACGAACAGTATTCAAGCTCATAAGTCCATTCGAACAAAACAAATTTAAAAATAGGTAACCCCATTAAAACGTCATACAATATACTCTGTTACATGTACACAAGTCTACTAGATATAAGTTAACCCCTATGTTCTGCAGATGGTTGTCTACAACAAACCAAAGCTTACCAGACTCAGAGAGAGATTACGTCACGAAGACCCGGATGGTGGAGTTTTATGATCATGTAGTCAACTCGGTATGGTCTAGTACATCACTAGTAAAACTATACAAATCCGTTTATTTATTTCGAGAGAGAGAAAAAAACTCTTATCAGTGTGTGTAATAAAAATGCTTGTAATTTGTATGTTGAAATTGCCTTTGACAGATTGATGCTATATTCAAATCAGCCGACAGTGAGAGGTACAGCTTCAACATCATCATGTCCGGTATCGTCATCTTTAACGTAAGCTTCTGAATGGGTCTAGTACAGTGATCTTTTAGTTATACCCTTTCTCTAGTCCATACTACATGAGTGTTTGAGTGATCTTTTATTTATACACTTTCTCTAGTCCATACTAAGAAGGGTTTTAATGATCGTTTAGTTATAACCTTTCTCTAGTCCATACGAAAGAAGGTTTTTATGATCTTTTAGTTTTACTTATACCCTTTCTTTAGTCCACACTACAGAAGGGTTTTAGGGATCTTTAGTTAGTTATACCCATTTTCTAGTCCACACCACAGAGGGGTTTTAGTGATCTTTTAGTTATACTCTTTTAGTTATACACTTTTTCTAGTCCATACTAAAAAAAGGGGTTTTAGTGATATTTTAGTTATACCCTTTCTCTAGTCCATACTAAAGAAGGGTTTTATGAGATCTTTTAGTTAAACCCTTTTTCTAGTCCATACTACAGAAGAGTTTGAGGTATCTTTTCGTTTAACACTTTCTCTAGTCCATACTAAAAACAATCTAATTAAAATTAGATGTTCCGAATCCGCTACCGCTTCTCAAACATCTAACAACATCCCATTCGGGGTCACGTCAGAACGACCTTTCGATTACCCAATGAAATCGCCGTCTCTGAAATCTTGGCTTATACTTATAGTTCGGATGCGTTTCTTTTTTTTTTAACCTTAACGCCCGAGGGGTTTCGTAGTAAACAAAATATGCATGGTAAAGACCGTGCTAAATATGAATGTGACGTGCGGGATATATAGACGTATACATGTAGTTTGTGTATTTTCGTTTGCATTATTTAGGTAAGAATGCCAGATTGGCGGACTATACGTTCAATTTATACCAAAATTACTTTAATTCAACGTAAGACAGTCTACTGAGCATCAATAATGTTAAGATGTAGCCTTGGAACTAATTTTAGAACCGTATACAGAAGGTTGAATCTGATTGGCCAAAATTTTTATGTTTATTCATAATCGAAAGGTCGCTCTGACGTGACCCCTAATTGGATGTTGTTAGATGTTTGAGAAGCGGTAGCGGATTCGGAACATCAAATTTTAATTAGATTGTACTAAAAAGGGTTTTAGTGATCTTTTAGTCATACCCTTTCTCTAGTTTATACTAAAGAAGGGTTTTAGAGATCTTTAAGTTAAACCCTTTTTCTAGTCCATACTAAAAAATGGTTTTAGTGATTTTTTAGTTATACCCTTTCTCTAGTCCATACTACAGAAGGGGTTGAGTGATCTTTTATTTATACACTTTTTCTAGTCCATACTACAGATGGGGTTTAGTGAACTTTTAGTTATACCCTTTTTCTAGTCCATACTACAGATGGGATTTAGTGAACTTTTAGTTATACCCTTTTTCTAGTCCATACTACAGATGGGGTTTAGTAAACTTTTAGTTATACCCTTTTTCTAGTCCATACTACAGATGGGATTTAGTGAACTTTTAGTTATACCCTTTTTCTAGTCCATACTACAGATGGGGTTTAGTGAACTTTTAGTTATACCCTTTTTCTAGTCCATACTACAGATGGGGTTTAGTGAACTTTTAGTTATACCCTTTTTCTAGTCCATATACTACAGATGGGGTTTAGTGATCTTTTAGTTATACCCTTTTTCTAGTCCATACTACAGATGGGGTTTAGTGATCTTTTAGTTATACCCTTTTTCTAGTCCATACTACAGATGGGGTTTAGTGAACTTTTAGTTATACCCTTTTTCTAGTCCATACTACAGATGGGGTTTGGTGAACTTTTAGTTACACCCTTTTTCTAGTCCATACTACAGATGGGGTTTAGTGAACTTTTAGTTATACCCTTTTTCTAGTCCATACTACAGATGGGGTTTAGTGATCTTTTAGTTATACCCTTTTTCTAGTCCATACTACAGATGGGGTTTAGTGATCTTTTAGTTATACCTTTTCTCTAGTCTACAGAATAACATGAATAAGACAATGTTTTCTGTAGGAAACAAACAGTCCACCCTGGACCCACCGCCACTCACTGTGCCCCGGATGTGACATTGTGGATGACTACGAGGTTCTCCGACAGTTTTCTGATTGGTCCAAACAATTCTTACAGAACATCATACCTCACGACCACGCCGCCCTTTTTACCGGGTAAAACTTATATATAAACTTATATATTATATACCTCACGACCAGCCGCCCTATTTACCGGGTAAAACTTAAATAATATATACCTCACGACCAGCCGCCCTATTTATATAAATTTTTATAATATATACCTCACGACCAGCCGCCCTATTTATATAAATTTTTATAATATATACCTCACGACCAGCCGCCCTATTTACCGGGTAAAACTTATATATAAATTTATATAATATATACCTCACGACTACGCAGCCATATTTACTGAGTAAAATTTGTATAAATTCTGTAATAATGTAACATGTGAGGTTTGATACAATAACGGTGTGTCTCTTGTAGGTTCGACTTATACTACAGAGATCTAGACTCTCCGAAAACGATAGGTAGGTACATCTTGTAAAAACCTGAATAGCACAGGAAAAATCCAAAGCTTCGCACTGAATCTGGCAATAGTTTTTGATATAATATTATTGAACAACTCTAGAAATGTCGTAACGCGTTCTCTTAGAATGATTTTACACCAGCTGCTGGCTTTTGGTTTTTTTTCTGCAGGATTATCGTTCCTGAGTCGAATGTGCGGGAATTGGTCAGTGTCCGTGGTAGAGGAGAAAGTGAACGCCCTCACCGTCCATGTGGCAGCCCATGAACTCGGACACAAGTACTATACGCTTATGAAATAAAAAAAAATATTTTGTCATTTGTTGATATCGAGAGTCTGCATATCGAACACGCTCTTTCTTATTTACATCGGTTATTTCCTGATATTTTTGTTGTTGTTGTTGATGATATCAAGAGTAGTAATATAAAATATCAGCTTTCTTACTGGGTTCTGGGTTAACATACCGAACACTTGCTCTCTTATGATTTCAGTTTTGGAGCGTCACATGACGGAAGTCTAAATGCAGAAATGTGCTCAGCCACAAATCTAAATTTAATGGCATCCAAAATGTCACGTGTTACAGACCCAGCAAAAGCAAGGAATCCCTGGACATTTTCTGCATGCTCACTCCAGAGTATTTACGATTACGTCGACAAAATAACAAGGTATTACGTTTTTGTACAAGCATATGGACTGCCCTGTCCACATAGCCTGTGCTCATTACAATATCCATTAATTACTTCTTTCAGGGAGCGAAGAAATTGTTTGTTGGGAGTTCCTCCGTTACAGAACCGCCATTTCCTTCCCCAGCCTGGACTGGTTTACACAGCAGACGAACAGTGTCAAAGTTCTTACGGCAACCAGTCACGTGTTTGTAGGGTGAGACTCTCCAAACAATAATATACGTATTTTTCTGTAGGACTTTAGGAATCTTGTTTTCTTTTTCCCTTTATAATTTAAAAGTTTCAATAATTGAAGGACCTTTGTGGGATTTTGTGATGCCTGGTAATGTTGTACACCTCCTCTGAATAAAAGTTTAAGGAAACACCAGCTAAAAATATATTTTTATTAAATTTTCTATAAAAAAAAAAAAAAGGATTTTCATAATTTGATATCTGTTTAAAACTCACGGTAATTTACTGATTTGTTGTCTAAGAACGTCCGATGGTATTATGATTTTAAATTAAGAATATCTTGAAAAATTATTAGTGGGAAAACTACATTTATTTGTAAAATACATGAACATGTACGTTGCAGAGGTCCTTAATTCTTATTTTTCTTTAATAAGAAACTGTGGTATAGGCGAGCGCGGCATTGGAAAATTTTGAGTAGAATGGTCTTATCGGATCGTTATCCATTGATTTGGGGTACGACTCCTGGTACCCCTCTTAACCAGTTACTTATTGAATTCTGCCACCAATTACCTAGAATGCTATTCTACAAGTACGCATGATAATTGTTTAGGTCCCTGTCACAAAAGGGCTGCTTTCCCCCAGAGTTGTACGGCGTTAAATTTCTGGGATCGTCTTGGAATATCGGGAAAAATTCAATGAAATTTTCAAAATTTAAGGATCACTGTCTAGTTTGTTGGGTATGCCAGGGCATCAACAAAAGTTGGAAACGTGGGATAATTTGCATAAGGGGCGAAGCCCGTTATGCATAAATTATACTAGTTTTTCAACTGTCGTTGATGTCCCCGGCATACTTACCTTTCAAAGGGTTAACTTATCAAAGAGAAAACAGTTGGAAATGTAAATATATGAAGATAACATGGTGTCCTGAAAGCAAGGCGTTCCTACGGAGCTCCGGCGACGTCATACATGTGATATGTACCGGCTGTACGCAAAATGTACAGTTTTTCGAGCACATTCATCGTGTACCGGCGGGACACCAAAATTCACGGAATATGAAAATTTGTACAGTATTTTGAATTTCTCGCTAAATGCCGCCATTTTCCTCTCATTCTCGCTCGCGAGACACTGGAAAACGTCACCTGTGTTGACACTTGACGTTCTGATAATTGTGTAGTGTACACAAACCATCGCGTGCGAAGGTGTGAACTGCCAATTGGGATAATTATCTTGCTATAAATTCGTATCAAATACCCCTTTAGGTAGCTTTATTTTTTAAGGGGTACTTAATTACTGTTAATGTTTCAAATACGTAACTTGATTGAAAAAAATTAAGCCAACTTCTAAAGTTGATATACGTGAATCTGACCCAGATCTTCGTAGGTATAAAATATACGATGTTTATTACAATGATTACGATGGAATTTCATCAGAATTTAAGCGATATTTTATACCATTTTTTTACTGTTTTTTGATAGGCAGTGTACAGTTTTTTCACCCAAATTCCAGTTTTTTATGGCTCCTGTACAGTTTTGTGGTCTTTGACTTATCACATGTATGCGGCGACGTGCTACTACGTTTCAACAGAGTTCTAGCCGGCGATTGACTGCGCTCATGGCGTGTTCCGAGTTGTCACTTCAACTCGCGTTCAAGGCGTACACAATTCGCTGACTGCGTGCACAAGACGTTCTTTCGACGAAGTGGTATCTCAAGGGACTCCAAGAGCTCACTGTGCAAGCGCTGTCGACAATACCACTGTACTACGATCACTTGAGCGCGTCAACAGAGCTCTTGTGGCACTGTTGGATACCTTGCCGCGCTGTTACGGTGATCCTACAACAAACAAATAAACAAAAACGGTGACCCTACAGCGTTTCTAATGCGTTTATATCAGAACGCAGAGCCACGGCGCGTTTGCGCGCCGTCGCTTGGCGTTCTAGGCGACCCAACCGCCTTCTGCTTTTTTCATGGACGCCGCGGGATCCCCGTGAGGGCGCAGCCCTGGTGTGACGGGGTTTTACTTTTACTGGTTAATGGACATCTCTTTATTTCAGAATTATCACCATGGTGACTGGAAGTCGATGTGTTATGGACTGGCTTGTTTGGTGCCAGAAAAATCAGAATGTCACGTGATCTTCCCTCATGACGGCACGCCATGTGGATATCAAAAGGTTGAAATCTTGATTTGCATTTTAATATTTTATATCATCCAAAGTACATGTGATTTCTTTTTGGACGGAGCTAGGCTCTGAGAGCCTCGTTTACTAATGTGATACGATTCTTTTTCCCAATTTTAGTGGTGCATACAGGGACTTTGTGTCGACAGCTCTAAAGCTAAAAAGGTGTCTGGTAGGTGACTTAAAATATCAAAACATAAATTACCACATATGGGGGAAGTTACTTAGCTCATAGAAATAGAATATTTCTGTAATTTGGACAATTTGCGAACAGAAAATGGATCGAAACGAGATAAAATTCAACCATATTCAGTGTACTAAACAGGGTAAAATTTGATACAAAACATTGTTAACGATAAACACGGTATTTTTATAAGTTTATGGAGTTTTCTCGCTTGGGGGAGGGCTAGCCTCCTAAATGCATGTAAAAAAAACTATGAAATACCGGTATCTAACATGACTGCTTTCAGATGCTTGTCCTCTTGGCGATGACCCATTCCTCACCTGCGTGGCATCTGATTGTAATCCAAGAAGTGGGAGGCATGGCGATTGTTGTCAGTACTGTCAAAAGTCTAAAACAACAACAACAACAATGGAAAAACAAACTAGTGCTGGGCCTTCAACTACTAAGACTGTGACAAGTCATATCTCAACAACTTTGTCCTCAACAACTGAATATAAAATTAAAACTACAGTAAGGAATGTCTCATTAAAATCAACAATTCAACCAGACAACTCGAGTCTGCACCCAACATCTCAAACAGACAACTCTAGTATTTTGTCAACATCTCAACCACACTTCAGTCAATCTTCAACATCTCAAACAGTCAACTCAAGTCTGCTGTCAACAACACAACCAGATAACTTAGATTCCACCACACTGGTCTCTCACTCATCGAGTCCTACACATGATGAGCAGACGACTGCGTCATCAAACATTACAGGCAGTACCGTACATACTACAGATGTTAAAACACATACAACCATACAGCCATCTAGTCAAAGACTCGTTTTCACTTCCAATATGGAGGCATCTATTGGTGTGTTTCTGTCTCTGGTTGTTTTACTGTGATTTCATAATTAACATAATTTAAGATTCATTATTTCTGTGTTATTATCATTTCTTTCTGACGTCATCAGTTGCTGAGTTTACCTAAGCATTTGTTGTGTAAATGCCATTTTGAACATCTCTGCCTTTTTTTTTTTTTTTTTTTTTTTTTTGATCTCGATGAATGCAGACCCCGGTGAAGCTTTAAAGAGTTTCAAATACATTAAATGATTAACTCAATATTAAATGAAGAAATATCCATGTGATTTGTGTGTTGTTTTGTTTACCCTTACCAAAGTGTTATGTTTGCTGAAGACCTGCAGTAAGTCTGCTGCAAGTTTGAAGCAAACAAAATTGTTCGCAGGAAGACAATTTTCTAGTTCGCAGATGATTGCTCTAGCTGTAATCTTGCAAACATGGCTGCAAATTTGCAGGAATTCAACATGTTCGCTGAAACATTGAAAGAAACATACATGCCAATCTATTGTTCGCAGGAAAATTTAACAAATTGAATGTTCGCAAAAACAGTAAACAAGTCAAATCAGCCATTGAAATGCAGACTGTACTGAGGTCAACACAGAATTCGCTATTTTGAAATGTACTTATATATCCTTATACATTTATTGACTGGTTTTGAGGGCAACATGCGTTTTGTCGGACCCAGGAACCAAACAGTTTGGATCGAGGGGTCGACAAAACGCATTTTGCCCGAGAACACAGTCAATAAATGTTTTGTTATACCTTTTATTTATTTATTCCATTATGTGACGTAAGCGATCCAACATCTCATTGACAAAATTTCTAATATCTCACTTAGCGGTCAAACATCGATTTTTTTATGCCCGCTCAGTAAAACATAGGAAATGTTAGACTTCTATTAGTATTGATTTATATAGGCACAAATTTTTAAAGGTATAACAAATATACATATACTTATAAAAGTTTTTTCATACTGGGGAGCAAAACATCAAATTTTACACTCCTGACATTATTGGGTATGCACAGATACTTGACTCTCATTAATACTGCTTGTGATGCACATAACATTTTTAAGTTTTAAATTCTTAATCAGTTATCGTTTTACACTTTGAAAATTCTTTTTTGACCTAATTGTCTTTCAGATTTTTAAAATCGGTGTTTTTTTTGACAACATTACATTTTCTCTGTTGCACTCCTGACATGGTATATTTTTCAATATCAGCCAGGGCCACAACTTGGTCAAACAAAACTTGTTACAGTGTACATTTAAAGCTCGATATTTTGAATATTATCAGGAAAGTCTATATTTCCAACACAAACTATTATTATTAATTTCAGATCTTCAAAAAAAATTAATGAATTTTCAAAATGTCACAAAATGGTGTTGCACTCCTGACATTTTTAGCATCATTTTTGGGCATAACTTTTTTGTGAATTGAGATATCAATGAGACATTTGGCAGGTATTTAAACACTATCTAAAGACATATGCTTAGACATAGAAATTTATTCCCATTGCCTGTATTTATGTGTTTGGTCATTTTTTTATTAATTCAGCCATTGTATAGTTTTATAGATGTTATCTATTACAGCTGTTATCTGTTCACAGGATTCATTGTATTTGTTTTTATTTAAAATGACAGAAAACATCAAACTTTAGAGTATTGTTGGTCTAATTACATATTGGTAAAGAATGTCCTTGACTTTTACCAGTAAGATTATTCATGACCTAGATAATTAAGGAAACATTATTTGAAAATAATCATTCATATTCTTATATAAAGTGATGAATTTCACCAGTACAAAAATTTAACAAGGCCATCTTTAAAATAATGTTTGTTTGCCCTCTTCAGACTCAGGGTAAAAAATATGGGTTGGTAGGTAGGTGGAACAATTCTTTTTAAAGAAAATTTTAACATCAATGCTGAATTTTCCAAATATATCAAAATAAAATACTTGTTGATGGAATGAGAAAAATTCTGAAATGAAAAGAAAAATAGATCGTTTTCTGGAGGTTAAAAACGTTTTGAGTCAGGCTATTTTCAGCCAGTCGGTCGGGAGAGGGCAAACAATTTTTAAAGATTGCCTAATATATATTAATATATATTAAATTTATGTTAAAACATACATCCTATCATCTCTTTTTGCATTATACAGAGGGATAGAGACATTTAGATATTGAGGCTGATTTTCTATTATCTCTAAGCATCATAATTAAACACACATCTACATAACCTTTAGCAATGAGTAATCAAACTGGGACAAAACCCTAATGTCTTTGGAAGTACTAGTACCAAGTGACTCACTGAATGACCAACTTATTCACTGAATGATCAAATGACTCAATGAATGAAGTTTATGAGTGATCAACAAATCTCCTTTTACTGATTTGCTGAAGAAATTTGAGATAATATAACAATGTATACAAGATTCTATACATGTATACTTCTGTGATGGTTTAAAACATTCCATAAGAAAGATCACTAAGAAGAACAAATCAAATGATGCCTATCAATCGTCCTCCATCACACTACTTCCTCCTGGTGGTTCCCCCTCAGTGTCCCGACATTTAGAGTGTACGAGTTCTCGTCGAATTTCAGGAGTAATTTTGTCATGAGTTTGTGCACGTAACAGTTCCATTAATGCCTCCTTTTGTTCACTAGAAATGTCCTCCTTGTATCGCTGTACAAATGTCAGAAGTGATTGGTGCCATAATACAGGCAGCTCTCTCTTATCTCTTTGGAATCTGTAACAATCCATACAACAATGGAGTTTAACATCTATCTAGAATTTGTAACAAATCATAACTAGGGTAAGGGTGAGTTTTATAGATACATAACACAAACAAAAATCTGATGCCTGGACTGATATATATTTTTTGACTGATTTTAAATCGAAATGACATAAATAATAAATCCCTAAAATATAAAAAAAAAAATCGTAAGTTTTCTTTGGTGCTAAAATATGCGACTTTGTTTTGGTTTCTATATAATTCTATACAAAAATTTGCACATAATTTTAACTTTATGACCAAATCTTGCAAAATTCTCCGACTTTACATGGCAAACATTATTCAGGGTACCTATTTGAACAGAAATCTATGAAAAATATCGCTGATTTCTGAAAAAAGTTTGCTTGTGTTATTTATCCTTAAAAAATGTTTTTCACTTCTCTTCATCCTCTTTGCTAAATATCACAATTTTAATAAGATCTCACAACAATATATTTGTTATTTATTGTGCACTTCAACATCACGTACTACAGTGTTTGAACTTCAAGAAAACAATGACTGAAAGGATGTTTGCAGACACTTAATCTTACAATGAATCTTACCCAAGAAAGTGGAAAACAACAGCATCCACCACCCTATAAGGGAGTGCATACTTTTTATCCAGTAAAGTCTTCAAGAAAATACTGTTTGCCCCATTATAATCCATCTCAGCAATCTTCAATATGGCAGCCGCAGAATGTAGCATGGGGACAGAACTTTTGGCCAAAATACTCGCGAGAATGATTGCTTCCCTCAGCGTACAGTTCCCAGCCTGTGAACAGACATGACAGAACACGATACAAAACAATTTACAATCATTTTCACAATCGGTAATTTAGAGCACTGGGCTGTCCACATAGCTACACACATGTGACCTTGTATTATGTTAAATAATTATATTATGTTAGGTTCCTAATTACATGTTTAATGGATGATCTGTTTGTCTCAAATATATTTAAGGTGTAATCTGTTCCAATCAATGGACATATACATGTTAAAGGCAGAAAAATCTACTGCTTTATCTATCAAGAACAATGATTTGTAGGCATATTAATTCAGTGGATTAATATGCCTACAAAGAAAACAAAACATTCCATTGATCAACTGATTAACAAAACATCATTACAAGATTTGTTACAAGATTACAAGATCTGATTTACAACACAGTTTTACCTCACACAGGGGAAGAAGAATTCCTTTGAAAAATGCTGCAGGTTTAAACAGCGACTTCCTAACTGCCTAAAAAAGAAAAATGCATTTTAGGTATTAATTGGTTTAAAGCAGTCTTTTAAATTATGAGAAGAAAGACTAACAGTTGGACAATATGTATGTAGTTCCTGACAGGAAGCTAAATCTGTTCATTTTCTTTGTATTAAACCTTACCATGTACAAATGGAAGTTCAGTCTTTTGTATTAAACCTTACCATGTACAGATGGAAGTTCAGTCTTTTGTGTTAAACCTTACCATGTACAGATGGAAGTTCAGTCTTTTGTATTAAACCTTACCATGTACAGATGGAAGTTCAGTCTTTTGTATTAAACCTTACCATGTACAGATGGAAGTTCAGTCTTTTGTACTCTGCAATGTCATCCCTGATTCTCGGAAGTAAAACTAAATTAAAGAACCTATTAAGAAAAAAATTAGCAACAAAATTATGATGCTTTAAAAACTGAAAAGTACATTTTGTCAGTTAAAGGATACAGTACTCAGTTAGGAAGCTCACCTGAAAGCTTGACAGACATACATAATTCAAGATATTTTAAGCTTGAGAAAAGGTACATGTATCTTGCTATATTAATGTATCTAGTGCCTCTAAAATCAGCTTCACTTTATGACCAGCAACCTATCAACACATCATTATTATTAAATATAATTATTAAGATACTGTCGATCATATACACTATCTCCAAGTTTAACTTAACTGAATAACACTATACATATAATGTATATCATATACACTGTATGACCAATTAGCTAAGGGATGTCCACATTGTGGGTTGAACCTACAACCCTAAGAATTAAAACCAACGCTCTACCGACTGAGCTAAAGTGTTAACCCACTAGCTAGTGCTAGTAGGAGCATAGCCTCGCTATTTACAACGCATAGCCACTTTTAACTCTGTTACACACTATCTCCAAGATGAACTTCACTGAATAACTATAATCCTGTTAACACATCACTATACATATACCATAAATGTATATCACATAGACTACAAGATCAACTTCACTGATAACCCTGTCAACATACCACTATAAATATACTGTGTATAGGTTTAATGTCATTCTTCCTACCTCTGAGCCATTTTAGCATTGAGGTTTGAGGCAAAGATCCTAGTGGCTTGATACATGGCTGCCGCTGACCAGGAATCGGGTTCTGTTAGGTATAAAACCTGAAAGAAGGAGGATTCTAGGTATGACACAAAATAATGTCAAAATTACTAAGTATGTAGCTACAAGTTAATATATGATTTTTAATTTAAGCTAAACCTGCATTATTCCATTATGACTATTGCTCTTCTCCTGGGTTTTAAACAAACTAAGTAAGTATATAGTTATGATGAGCAAGGGTGTCTCTTCCAAAATTGTGAATATCATGGTCCCTGTTGAGCAGATAAACAAAGTGCATAGTTATGATGAGCAAGAATGCTTCTTCCAAAATTTTTAAAACTTGTGGTCACAGGGTCAGGGGTTCTGTTGTTTCTTTTGGGGGGGGGGGGGGGGCTCTATTGATAATACAGTGAAAATGTTTTTAATAATATTAAGCCCTGAGGTGACGTGCATTCCCCCACTTCCCTTGAATAATTTTTAGTATAATAGCCCTAAAACATATTTATTGAAAAACTTTTGTTTTATAAATGCATATTTGCTACACAGTAAACCACTCTAGATTTGCACTATTTTTTAGGTTGTAAGTCAGCATGTGGTCAGTATTTAAACTTTAACTATAATCAATACTTTGGAACTGAAACAGTAGTAAGGTACAAACAAAGAAAGCTGCTGATTTCAACAAAAGTAAGTAGAGTGTGAAATGTTCTATAAACATTTCTCTGATTGTAATAAAAGTTGGCTTACAATTCAACTCTAAAACAATAAAATATCAGCTTTTCTACATTAGATAAACAGCAATTAAACATTTATATACTGTACCTGTTCCCAGTTCCTGAGGCTTGGGATGATTTTGAAGGCTTTAGGCAGCTTTCCACTGCGGTATTTCTGTAAAATGGGTCTGACGCTTTTATACATGTTCACAACTCTGTCATCCAACTGCTGCATCTGGACACTGGCATTATCTGATAAAATCAAGATAGGTAAAATTATCTGACATCTGTACACTGGCATTATCTGATAAAATCAATATATATGTGAAATTATCTGACATTTGTACTCTGGCATTATCTAATAAAATCAAGATACATGTAATTTCACATGTATCTGACATTTGTACACTGGCATTATCTGATAAAAATCAAGATAATGTGATTATCTAACATCTGTAGACTGGTATTATCTGATAAAATCAAGATAATTGAAATTATCTGACATCTGTACACTGGCATTATCTGATAAAATCAAGAAACATGTAATTATCTGACATTTGGACACTGGCATTATCTGATAAAATCAAGATACTGTAATTATCTGACATCTAGACACTGGCATTATCTGATAAAATCAAGAAACATGTAATTATCTGACATTTGGACACTGGCATTATCTGATAAAATCAAGATACTGTAATTATCTGACATCTAGACACTGGCATTATCTGATAAAATCAAGATACATGAAATTATCTGATATTTGGACACTGGCATTATCTGATAAATTCAAGATACTGAAATTATCTGACATCTGTACACTGGCATTGTCTGATAAAATCAAGATATGTGTAATTATCTTACATCTGTACACTGGATTAATCTGATTTATCAAGTTACATATATATATATATATATATATATATATATATATATATATATATATATATATATATATATATATATATATATATATATATATATATATATATATATATATATATATATATATTGTAATTATCTAACATCTGTACACTGGTATAATCTGATAAAATCAAGATATATGTAATTTTCTAACATCTGGACACTGATGTAATCTGACAAAATCAAGATACATGTATACGTAATTATCCACACTGTACTAATTGTACAGTCTCACATGACTTGAAATGGAGACCAGGTACAGTATTAAGAGGCCACCTGAGTCCCTGAAATTAAAATCTTTGGGGCATAACAAAGAATATAGGGACCCTAACCCTAACCCTGACTCCTAACAGTGTTCCAGCTAGGATCTGAAAATGGAGGGGTGCAACAGGAGGGCACTTTTTCGCCACGTACCGTTTGTCACGAGCTTTTGTTACATAGGTGTATCTCATTACCTCACCCTTATAATAATAAACTCCTTCAAATATCAATTTATTTAACCTTATTGATTTAAAAGATATATAAACAGACATTAGGCCTAATCTATAGCTAGTATATAAATTAACATATAAAAAAAGAATTTTAAAAATTCTCTGAGATTAAATATTACTTTTCTTCTTCTTTTTTAATCATTTTCTATTCTTATTTCCTATTTTCAAAAACAGAACCATAATTCCTATAAACTAACTGGTGTCTCACATTATTCAGTACAGTACATGTGCTACATGTGATTGGGTCTGTTTTTGGCAAATGTATAAAATATGGATACAGTATTTGTAGGTTTTAAGTAACATATAAGTACTAGAATTAAACGTACAATTTAAAGCCAATATCTTTTTTGCTTGTTTTATCATACTGGTCATGTTATTGGCAGATACTTAATTAATTAAATTAAGATTTTAAACTTCTGCAATGAAATAGAACACATTTAATATGTACATATCTGTAATCTCATAAAATACCTTTCAGAGTATCAAAAATCATAATTAAGGAGAAAATAAATGAATATTTATACTTGTTTCTGTGCTATCAAATATTGAATTCCTTCTTTTTTCAGATAAACGTCAAGAATTTATAAATAAGAAGTGAAGGTCAATGTTTATTCTACTTTCACTTCGTGATTTATTTTTAGAACGCTATAATACATGACTCTTGTTTTATATTAATTAAAACAGATAGCTTGGACATTCTCAAAGTATTTCAGCTTTTAACCCTTATTCAGACTGTCAAGTGATCAAAGTAATTAACTAATCACCTGTAACTGAAAGCGGGCACCTGTACAGATTGTCCTTAGGTAATCTACTTTAGAACACACTAATTATTCTAATGAGGGAAAAGGACAGTCAGAATGATACAGGGCACTAATATGGGACACAGGGGCGCTTGTGAGAGGCAGAGGGGCATACTGATTTGAGGGCGGGACACAGCGCCCCACTATTTCACCCTACCTGGAACACTGCCTAATTTCAGTCTGTTTTTCGGTGATTTTCTCCATTCTTACCCGACATTTGACTCCTAATTTCAGTCTGTTTTTCGGTGATTTTCTCCATGATAATGTCAGCCAGGGTCCGTCTGACTGGAGGTTCTTTACACATGAACATCTGAAGGGCTCTCTCATCCTCTTCATTAACCTCCTATTGAAATCAAACACTTATCAACATTTTTATTTCTGACTGATCATTCCTCTATTTATAATTAATATGGCCTTCTAACAAAAGACTGACATTTCTCTTCCTTCAGAAACTTTTCACCGATTTAAAACCTTAAAGAATATCAACCTGCAACAGTCTCACAGATTTCCGATGATTCACAACTGACTCACAGAATTCCTATGACTTACAACTGACTTGTAGAATTCCTATGATTTACAACTGACTTGTAGAATTCCTATGACTTACAAATGATTAACAGAATTCCTTTGATTTAAAACTGACTTGTAGAATTCCTATGATTTACAACTGACTCAGAGAATTCCTATGACTTACATCTAACTCGTAGCATTCCTAAAAATTTACAACTAACTCATCGATTTTCTAGGATTCACAACTGACTAATAGAATTCCTATGATTTACAAGAGACTAAGAGAATTCATTTCAATTACAAAAGTCTCACAGAAATCCTCCAACTTATAACAGACTCAGAGATATCCTCTGACTTAAAATAGACTCACAGATGTCCTCAGACTTACAACAGACTCACAGAATTCCTTAGACTTACAACAGACTCACAAATTTCCCCTGACTTACAACAGACTCACAGATGTCCTCAGACTTACAACAGACTCACATATGTCCTCAGACTTACAACAGACTCATAGAATTCCTCAGACTTACAACAGACTCACAGATGTCCTCAGACTTACAACAGACTCATAGAATTCCTCAGACTAACAACAGAATCACAAATGTTCTCTGACTTACAACAGACTCATAGAATTCCTCAGACTTACAACAGACTCACAGATGTCCTCAGACTTACAACAGACTCATAGAATTCCTCAGACTAACAGCAGAATCACAGATGTCCTCTGACTTACAACAGACTCATAGAATTCCTCTGACCAATAACTGACTTACAGATGTCCTCAGACTTACAACTGACTCACAGAATTCCTAAAACTTACAACAGACTCACAGATGTCCTCAGACTTACAACAGACTCACAGTTGTCCTCAGACTTACAACAGACTCATAGAATTCCTCTGACCAATAACTGGCTTACAGATATCCTCAGACTTACAACTGACTCACAGATGTCCTCAGACTTACAATAGACTCACAGATGTCCTCAGACTTACAACAGACTCACAGATGTCCTCAGACTAACAATAGACTCATAGAATTCCTCAGACTTACAAGAGACTCATAGATGTCCTCAGACTAACAACAGACTCATAGATGTCTTTAGACTTACAACAGACTCATAGAATTCCTCCTCATCCTCGAGTTCCTCCTCTGATTCAGATTCCTCCTCACTTTTCCTCGGTCCAAGAGATGTCTGAGGAGCTGCAGCTTTTTTACCACGTTTATCACTTCTAAAATATTGGAAAAAAAGAAGTTGTTGATTCATTCTAGGATGAAATTAAAATCTCTAGATTTTAGCACTAATATTCCTATTAATTTCCTCAGACCTTTTCCCCTTCAGCCCGTGCTCCTCCTGAAGTTCTTCTTGTTGAAGCCTGGCTTGTTGTAAAATTCTTTTGGAAAGCTTGTCATCAACATACTGAAATAAAGAACCTAAATTGTTCTACTTGTAGTATTTATAATACTTTCTCTTTTTTCATTTAATTTAGTGAGTAGGACAAAGATAATAAATCTATGTGTGAAAAAATGTTAACAGAACTGAAAAGAAAGCTATACATTAATATCTTATTTACACTTAAAATTTTAATTTCAAAGTTATCAATGATCGTTCATGACATAAAAATGAAGAGCATTAATTAACATTACATGAGAAATGCAAATCTTCTTGCATCATATTCTGCAGGAAAATCCATCATGAATATTGCAGAACTCAACATAAATAATAGCAGATCTGGGGCATTTTTCATGATTCTATTGAAACCTTCATAAGATCAATTTCTTCCTTTATTTCAACTCAATAACACAAGAAAGCCTTTAGTATAATTCAGTACTGAATTATCAAAACACATATTCAGAAGCCAGCATGGACTCAACGGTAACTTCAATTCAGAACTGACAAAGATCAACTGGAATCAAATCTCTGTCATACACATACAGGCAAACCTCTTTATCTCCAACTCAAAGCAACCAAGAAACAAGAGGCAATGGGCCACAAAGCTCACCTGACTAACTGTGGCCCTTCTTGATCATCTTCAGATTCTATTTCCTATAAATTCCCAAGTATAATTTGAACATTGTAGCCCCACCCTATCCCCAGGGGGTCATGATTTGAACATACTTGAATCTACACTATCTGAGGATCCTTCTTTATAGATATGACTCATCATGACTTTGCTGTTCCTGGGGAAAAGATTTTGAAAGATTTTTTCTATGTATTCTTAATTCCTATGTAAAACTTTGATTGCCCATTGTGGTCACACCCTACCTAGGCGATCATGATTTGGACAAACTTGAATCTACACTACCTGAGGATGCTTCCATATAAATATGATCAATCATGGATTTGCTGTTCCTGAGAAGATTTTTACGGATTTTTTCTTTTATTGCCCAATGTGGCCCAACCCTACCCCCCATTACATTAGGGTTAGTCTAGCATCCAACCCTTAGCTAGCCCAAGTTAGTCCAACCCTACCCCCGACATTAGGGTTAGTCTAGCATCCATCTGAGAGATTAGGGTTAGTCCTCGCGCATTATTTGACTGATAAGGGTTAGTCTAGCATCCGCTCGTGAGATTTGGGTTAGTCCTCGCATACCATCTGAGAGATTAGGGTTAGTGTCTTGTTCTTATAGATGAATTAAGAAAATTCAGTTGCTTCTGTATTTTTCGCAAGATCTTAATTCAGCTTCAACGATTATCTCATTGCTTTGTTTACATGAAAAAATATCTAAATATGAAAGAAACGACACTAAGCATGCACTTTATTGAAAATTATTTTTGTCTCTTTTTCACTGAATAAACAATATTTATTGCTTTTTTCCAGAGAACGAGGTTAAAAACTTCATTTAAAAACGAAGTTTTAAACTTCACTTTTAAGCATAGAATTTGATTTTGGGCTAAAAAAGGCTTAAAACCTCATACTTTTTTTTTTGATCGCTCACAAGATCATATACATTGAAGTCGCCTACGGTGACACTATATATTTTAGCATGTTTTTCTGGGGACCGGTAAAGTAAAGTACGTCGTTCCAAAATATTTTTAATGATGGTCTGACACTGTATATAGATGCTTAACCCTACAATGTTTTTTATGAATGCTTCCATATAAATATGACATAACAGCTTTTATGTTATTGAGAAGAAAATTTTTTTAAAAGATTTTTCCTAATTATACTCTTGTAAAACTTGATCGCCCATAGTGGCCCCACCCCCAAGGGTCATGATTTGAACAAATTTGTGGTGTCAGCACTTCAAAAGAAAAAGAAGAAGAAGATTGTGTGTAGATCTATTCACCCTGCTGTTTATTGATTTCAGCAGGGAGGAATATACTAACAGTATTTTACGTCCCTGATTTCAGAGGAAATTCGAACACTGAAAGTTAGAGACTCGGTGGACATCTCAAGATCATACACAATATAGTCCATCAGTGTGTCCAAGATCCTATACCATTAAGCTGTCAACTTTTATCCAATTTTAACTGAACAAAAAGATTTTTGGCAGTTCTGTGTTCACCATGGATGCTGGAGTTCAACATTCACATTGCTCAAATAAATTTACCTCGTCATCTTTCTCCTTCCGATTCCTGACTTTCACTCTCCCGGTGGACTTCAAAGTTTTGTCGTCTAGAATCTGATCTGCTAGTGGAACAAACTTCTCCCCGTCCTCCGTAACAGTTTTGGATGATTTTGTTTTCTTAACTTTTCCCATGTTTACTAATTATTTCACGTGTTGGCTTAATGGTGGGTGTAAATGTAGTGTAACAGGAAGTCAAAACTAAATATTTGGCATGCGGTAAAAGTAGTTAGAGACGGCAGCAGATCTAGAACATGAAGATTGCATGTAGTCTCGTTTAACCAGACACTCGGCTGCCTCCGTAAACTCCGACAGCTGTCTGGTTGAAACTAAGCTTAGAAACTTAAAAATTCAAGCAGATAAAGCATGTAGCCAAAATTAAAAACAAAAATAATTTAAGTTCCTCACCAACACACATCCTGCCTAGTGATTGGGTCAGTCCCTACCAACACTGGCCAGATCTGTATTGTTGTGAGGGAAAAAAAATAAATAAAAATTAAAATAAATAAATAAAAAGAAAAAGAAACTATAGGATCCTGGAGAGCTTACACTTCTGCCATCACTGGCTGTTACTCCAGAAGTTTCAGTCCCCAGGATCCTTATTACTGGAAATTTTAAGAAATTAACAAAGACTATATATATATAAAAAAAATCTTAGTTAAGAAAACTAAATAAAAGAGGTAGTATCAGCAAAGCAGATGAAAGACTTCAAAAATAAATGAAATATATGTATACTGCAAAATAAAAACTGATAGTATAAAAAATAAATAAATAAATAAAATAAGGGTGAGATCGTTTTGTTTTGAATTCCTCTTTTTGTTTGTTTGTCCATCCGATTCAAACTGACCCTCTCTTAATAAAATTTTGTCTTATGGCAGAGTAGTATAAGGTATAGAATTTATAAATTATTTTTTTGCTTTTCAAGCTATTTTTGGAGTAGTCCATGAACCACAAACTCGGAAACGTGCTACATCCCCATCCATATCAAATCGGACAAAGCTTCCTATTCATATATGTATAAATGTATATATTCATATATTCATAAATAATGCAAAAAAATATGTACTTTAATATGTGTATGATATAAATATGTAAATTTGCATATATATGATGTATGATATTATTTGCACAGAATTTATGTATATGTATAAAAACTATCTGGTTTATTCCTTTTTTTATGTCTTTCTCCTATCAATCATGCAACTATTTCTCTCTTGTGTGTATGTATATTGCAGTACATGTATATGATTATAGATATAAATGTTAATTTACAATGTACTTTCTTTTTGCCCCATGAGGGCCCTTAATTGGTAAAAAAACTAAACTAAACTAAACTATATGGTCCATATTATAGTAGACCATATAAAAGAGTTGATATATTGATGATGTAGACTTGGAATTTACATTTTAAAGTATTTTTGTTGATTTATTTTCATTAATGGAAGTGGGTGTTTCTTGCATCATTTAAAACAAGACTATGTAGAGAGGAATTAATATTTTTCAGTTATGCAAAGACAAGATGTACTCAGGTGCTTCACAAATTTTCGTGTGAGCTCATTAATTAGCAATTGAATTAGAAAGATCTATATCAGGCATGTAGTATCGTTTTTGAAAGGGGGGCAGCCAGAAAAAAAATAATTTGACAACTTTTCTGAAAAAAAAAAGCGTTGACAAGCAAAAAAAAATTATAATAATAAATAAATAAATGAAGAAGAAAAAAAGAAAATTTTCCGACTTCGAAAATCCTACTTCGTGAGGGAGGGGGGGGGGGGAGTAGGTTCCAACTTCTTTTACAACTTTACAACCAAATTTTTCATACATTTACACATTCCCCTGATTTGACTATACTGCAACAAAAAGAGGGAAGGAAGACAATCCTTTCATGCATTGAACATTTTTAACAGTGAAAGGTTATGTTTGGAAAAAAGGGCGGGTACAACACTCCCTCCCGATACCAAAGGCGGATCCAAGGCCGGCGCGCCGGGCGTACGCCCCCCCCCCCCCTTACCCCGTTTGAATATTTTGTATGTAGAACTTATATGTTCATTATCCTAAAATCAAGGAAAAAAATCTCTTATTTGTAAGAATTTGTCAGCTTGCGGGGGCTTAATTCGTCCCCGGACCCCCACCAGGGCTTTGCCCTAGACCCACTGGGGGCTTCAATGCAGCCCCCAGACCCCCTGCCTTCTACTGCCCCCCTCCCCCGTCACGAAATTCCTGGATCCGCCACTGGATACTACGTTTCTGGATATAGAAATATTCTTGTTGCTCAAAAATGTAGAAATTGCTACTCAAACTCGATAGAAGACGAAATTCCTTTTACATCTGAATGTCCTAGATACGAATCACACAATAAGAACTTTAATATTTAATATATTCAAAATCATCGTTTAGCAGAATATATATCTAATTAAATGTTTTCAAACAAGAAACAATATTATCATAGGATGAATATAACCAGTACATAAATATTTGAATTATTGGGAGATATGTTGCTACTTTTGTATGATTGTTGTCTCAAATTTTGTCATTTATCTTTTGGAACTCTAACCCTCTATATTGTTTGTTTGTTTTTTTTCTCTTATTTATGTTTGATGTTTTGTTTTTATATGTCCTTCATTTACTTACTTAAATTTCAGCATCACAATGGCGGATCCAGAGGCTAGTTCCATATTCAGTCAATGTTTGATAAAAAGATTAACAGCATAATTGAAATTAGATAATTTAATGAATGGATGAAATAAAATAAAATAGGGCAAAAAATGAATAAATAAAATCTGCTGAAAGAATGATTAATTTTATTCTGTTTTCTGACATTATGACATTCAGGACACGGGTTTTAGGAAAATTTTGGATATTCACCTTTAAAATCACCGAAATTGAAAACTTTCTCTTTGTTGCCAACCTATACAGTGGCCAATCTAAATCCGGATACTAGTAAATTATCGTGCAATTTTGCACATTAAAAAAACAACAAAAACAAATGCTATAAGTTTAATACAAATCAGATGATCTTGTTGATTTTCTTTTTTTCGAATCTGCAACAGTTTTAAGGAATATTATGAAATATGGAGATAACGAACAGTATTCAAGCTCCAAAGTTCATTCAAACAATCCAAATCAGGAGCAGGCAAACATGGGCCTCTAAAAACATCAGAGGTGGGATATAACAACAAAATTATACAACATTTACTGGCGGATCTGTATTCCAACAATTACATGTCATATTCAAAGAATTATAGAGGCTTGGACAAAGTTGCATTGCCGTTTTGTTTACAATTTTATTTTTCAATTTTTATATTAAAAAAAAATCATAATCAGTGTAATAAATTGAGCTTACGTGAAATTTCGTAAAATTCAATGACAACGACACTATTTATAACATCACGTCAAGCATTTAGAGATGAGCTCAGTTACTGTTAATGTTTACGTTCTACCGGGTGTGTTCGATTTGTTTACTCTGCACACACCACTGAGCACGGACTGACAATATTTGTGAGCTGGTTTTGCATTTTCACATTTCTACTCTGAATTTTCTGGATCATTTTAATCTTTTGATATTTTAATGTTTTTCATCGATTAACAAATTTTCCACTTTTCTTAGGATAAAGTTTACCCCGTGAAAGTGAAAGGATGTGTGTCCATCAAACGCGTCCCAAAATTCGTAGCTTCAAAAAATACCCAACCCTGAAGTTTTTAAATACGCTTTTATAATATTTTGATGTGAAATGCTCTAGCAACATAAAAGTCATGATATGCTGAAAATTCTTTAAAATATTAACTTCAAATCTGTGTGCATGCAAGACCCTTTAAACACAATGTAATGAAGATTGCATGTTCGAATCCGCTACCGCTTCTCAAACTACTGAGCGTCAGAAATGTTGAGATGTAGCCGTGAAACTATTTTTTGAGTCCTATACAGAAGCTTGAATCTGATTGGCCAAAATTTTTATGTTTATTCATACTTGAAAGGTACTCGCACTGACGCGAACCTCTAGGGAATGTCGTTAAATGTTTAAAAGCGATAGCTGATTCGGAACATCTAAACAAATTCATTAAAATAAATCATATCTGGTAAAAAGCACAGAGCAACAAATGAGAAACCTTTTAACAGACATCAGATTAAAAAGTTTCATGTCTACTTCGAAATGCTAAGACCGCGGAACATTAACTGGCAAAATTGGAAATATGGAGCTTACGTCTTTTCCATCTGTTACAGTCAAAACATTTAAGGACATACGCAACGTACCTTACCTACTGATAATTTTTCGAGATATTCTTAATTTAAGATTATAGTGCCATCAGATGTTCGTAGACAAAAAATCAGCATGCATTACCAGGGGTTTTGAAAAGATATCAATTGATGAAAATTCTTTTATAACTCAAAGAAAAATATACAAAAATTACTAAGCATTTATTCTAGATGTTTTGTTTATCCTAACTTGTTTTAGAAGAAGTGTACAATAACATATATAGACATTAAAATGTAGCACACAGTTCCTTGAAGTATTGGAACTCTTCAACTCCAAGGAAAAAGACTATAAAGTACAAACTACGTTGCGTATGTCCTTAATGATAGCTTATGAAAAGGGCGGTTGCAATTCGACACGGACGTCCGTGAAAACATTTGATTGAAATTCTAGTTTGAAATTCATCTTCAATCCACCTGAGCTGTTTTCAAACGCAAAGTGTGATTGTATGATCCAAAGACAAATAATTTCAATTCCAGACTACATGTTGTTTGAAATTCATATTTATATGAGTTTTTTAGGCTATAATTTTAAGGACACGTAAAGGTCATAGAAGACAGAGATTATTAGTCCCCTACCGGTGAAACCAGAGGGGACTATAGGTTTCCTCTGAGTCTGTCCTTCCGTCTGTCCGTCTTGCTGTCTGTCCGTCTGTCTGTCTGTCCCTCTGTCTGTCTGTCTGTCAGTCTGTCCCACTTGGTTTTACGCACTTTTTTCCTAAACGCTTGCAGATATTGAGCTGATTTTTGGTATGTGAGTGTATCTTGATGAGTTACAGATCAAGTTTGCATTTCGTTCCGCTTCATTGATTTTTGACGGAATTACAGTCTTTTCAATTTTTAGGGGTTTTCCGCAATTTTCTTCTAAACGCTTTCAGATATTGAGCTGATTTTTGGTATGTGACTTTACCTTGATTAGTTATAGATCAAGTTTGCATTTCGTCCTGCTTCATTGATTTTTGACGGAATTATGGCATTTTCAATTCTTAACGGGAACCAGTTTACACTTGCCGGTAGGGGACTAGTATTGCTAATGCAATACTCTCAGAATGCTTGTTTTTTCAGGGGATGGCCATTTGATTCTAGAAAGGGGAGGGGGGTCAAAAAATTTCACATGACATCTAGCGTAGCTGAGGTGGATTGAATTTCAAACTAGAATTTCAATTCAATGTTTTCTCGGACATCCGTGCCGAATTGTACCCGCACATTCCATTGTCTATCATTAAATGTTTTGATTGTAACAGATGGAAATGGCGTAAGCTGCATATTTCCAATTTTGCCAGTTGATGTTCCGCGGTCTTATCTTCCAGTTTGATAACAGATCAATTGTAACAGAATGGCTTCAAAATAAGTAATGCTCATTGAGTAGCGATTTTACAAATTCTGAGTACAGTAGTTTCCCTGGACTGTACTGCGCAGCTGCACAGGCCATCGCCAGCGGAAGGAAGTGGTCTAGTGTAGAATGAGCCTTAGAAAAGCCTGGGGCTGACTTATAACCCAGAAGTCTCTCCTTTCTCTCTGAGGGGGAGTAATTCTTGTTAGTAAGGACATCATTGAGCCATAATTTGACGTCCTTTGCCCATTTTTCTGGTTCAAGACTTTGTCCTAAGGAATGTGTAGCAAAGCCGCTACCGATGATCAAAATGTTATCGTGTCTAAGTGGAGATAGTGCTTCTGCAATCTTCAAATGGTCACTCATCCTCTCGTTTTTTAACAAAGAGACTTGTACAACTGAAAATTTATTTGGAGATTGACAAGATAATAATTAACATAATGACATATGATTCTATGTATTTGACTAAATGTTAATAGATCTTATGCAAACCTACAACTAACGTACCTGGAATATTCGCCTCTGGGAAGACCAGTTTCAGTGGAACGAACACACCGTGGTCCAGGCCTCTTTTTGTTTCTTCTTCACTCTTTATTCCAGCATCTTGGAGGCATTTTTTCACTTTTTGTGCAATTGAAGGTGCTCCCACAACAGGCCAGTGTATTTTATAGGTCTCGGGAGGGAAACCTCCGTAGTCATAGTACAAAGTGTGTCGACTCCCGGTATGGACGGTACAAACAGACTCCTCCCAATGGGCACTAATGACCACCAAACAGTCCGGACGTCTCAGGTCCTGCGTTTTTGTTAATGTTCTTAAAAACTCAGCTGCCTTTGAATCCTTGTCCAGACCCTTCAGTAATGGCATTTCTTTCGCTGAAAGGAAGAAAGAAGGTCCTCCGCCATGAGAGAGAAATATCACTGGTTGTGATGACATGTCCGTACGTGGGTACTAGTAAATGTATCCTCTTTAGTCGCTGAATACTGTATACATTTGTTTAAAAAAAAGTTTTATATCTATAAAATGAGCAATGAATTCATCATTCAATGAGACGATCTCTCAGAAAAGGTTCTGAAATATGTTCTGGATTTTGACCTGAATAGAAACAGTGAATGTGAAAATATATATAGATTTAAATTAAGGCAGAAGACTGGCTAATAATGACTTCCTACAATTACGCCCCTTAGTATCTTGGGTCACAAACGTTTACCAAAGTGTTTTAAAAATTTAATATATCATGCACTTTGACATGTAGCGGCTGTTGGGAAACTGAAAGTCGAAAAAAAAAGATATTTATATATACAGACATACCACGTTACTGTGATTCTCATCGCACAAAATAAAAAATAAAAATGTTGTTGCAAAATTAAGGACATATACTAGTCGGAAACCGAGCAAATCCTTTAACAGCTGACTGATCGAGCTGTATTTAACTGTTTCGTGATCCAACAGATTTTTCTTTCAAAGGTGCGGGAGCGTCGCATGCAAAGTCAAATGCGTTTCTATATAATCTTAAAACAAAATTTAGAAAAATTACTTGTTGATTACAGTTCAAGCATTTTAAAGTGTACATCTCTTCACTTCCCTTGTCACACGATAAACAGCTGATTATTAACATGATCACCCAGCTATACAGAATAAATCTTCCTCCATCCCCTGAAGAGTTCCACGTAAACAACGATGTTGAAAGTGATCGGCAGACTGCTCTTTTTGTTTGTCCTCGCGATATATTTTTATATCTTGGAAATTTTTAAGCTTTTTTCTCCAACAAAAAGGAAGGACGTGCGTAACGAGATCGTGCTGATTACCGGGGCGGGACATGGAATCGGCAGGGAGATCGCTTTGGAGTTCGGAAGATTAGGGGCGCGGGTTGTGATATGGGACATCAATAAGGTATCTTATTTTTAAGTTTTCACACAACAAATCTCACAAAGACAATGCTTCTTTATTTAATTTTTTTAATGACAAAAAGGTGATCTTAACATTTTATTGCATTTTTTGTTAATCTAATTTACTGTAAAATGAACACTGTGTTGAATTTTAAAGGGGCGGATTCATGCGAACATTCTAGCTTTCCCCGTTCTCGTATTGTGTGCTTATAAATTAGTAACTACTGAACCTATCTCAGTGATATTAAGAAAGAATTCTAAATTAATAAATAAATGGATCAAGTGGTGAGAAAAAGATTAAAAACAAACAAACAAACAAAAGACAAAAAGTCATTCGTAAAATAGCAGATATATATTTTATAGGCTTTAAAAATTATGTGTAAATTGTTTATAAGTATTTATATAACATGCATATGCTCATGAAGATGTGTAACACTGATGCCTGTGTGGCAGCTCATGAACAAGGTTAAAGTTTTTTTTTCAAATGTACTAGCAGGTCAGTCTTACTCCAAAGTCAAGAGGTAAAACATGTTGTTTCCTAGAGAAAGGTCTTGGAACAGTCAATAGGGAAAAAAATAGTACCCAAAGAAGGTCTTGTCACAAGGACTACATATGTCAAATATGAAAGCCCTAGCATCAACCTCATAAAAGTTATGGACAATGTTAAGTCTTTGAGGACAAACTGATGTGCGGACCAAAAAACTATGTATCCCCGAAATCTTCGATTGCGAGCGGGGGGGGGGGGGGGCATAAACAGAATTAAAAACGTGAAATTTTGAAATTTTACATCAATAATTATTTGTTTAAAATTAAAGGCGCAGCCTTTACGAAAAGAAGTTTGTATCTGTCAATTTGTAAAAACCACAGATGACAGGAGGATATATGTCCTTGAAGTAGTTGCTGTGTCAGCCTTAGATCACCTAAGGTGTCATCTTCCCATCTTAAACTCATTTACGTATATTATCTTAGTTGATATTTAGATATTCTGACGAGAGAGAGAGAGAGGGGGGAGGAGAGAGAGAGAAAGAGGTGTCAGATTTCCGACAGTTATCGTCACACCATTGACAAAAATAAAGTATGAGGGTTCAGATAAGGTCTGTATAATATATTTTAATCACCCCTGTAACACGTGTGTGTACACTATTAACAGTACATACAGGTATCTACCTGTAATCTCGGTCGGTCAAAATGTGGTTATACATTGTGAACGGGCATATTTTAAATCAAATGACAGAACAGATGCATCTTTTCTTTTATCAATTGTCCAGTTAACTGTCCATAAAATTTTACGTCTTTTTTTAGGAAAAGAAAAAAAGGTACGAACAGAAAAATATACCAACTTATAGTATTATTACATTACACAGTATTTAATACTATGTAAGATGAGGTATTGCTCACAATAAGTGATGGTACTAATCCACAGTACCGGTACTAATCTGTATGGAAGGTCTTCATGTTGTATATGTAAAGCAAACATGACATAAAACGATATGAATTGATGTAAGGAGGGTGTGTTTGAGGATTGCATCATAAATGAAAAAAAAAATCATCAATAGCTACAACGTAGAATAGATAAATAATTTTTTTTTATTATCGTGATTATCTTGCATACTGTGTACTGCTTTCCATAAATAATTAATTACGAAAGAAAATAAAAGGCATACGATTGTTTTAGATTTATTTTTTAAAATTTATCGACCTGTAATAAGAAATGATACTGTACAATAGTCTTAAATGTTCTGATAAGAACTTGTTTATCTTTGTTGGTTTAAAAAGAAAAGAAATCGATAAAAGACCTTTAGGAATGAGGTTACAAATCAATGACCTAGTCCTTGAAGAAAAATTTTTAAAAAATAGGTAAATGGAAAAAAAAAAGTAAGAGTGTTGTCAATATTCAGAAATCAAAACACATTTTATTTTGTATCCAGATAGTTAAATATGTTTGCACATTTAACACGATGATGTCTTTTTCTCGACAACTACCTTTTTTTGGTCGTAGATCTTAAAAGGGTTAAGACTAAGTTCTATTGCGATAGCAAGATAAAACTGGATACTTTTTAAGTTTGGTGTAGTTTTCATTTACAACTTTAGAGTACAAACGATGCAACAGCGGAGGAAATTAAGCGTAATGGTGGTACGGCGTACGCTTACGTTTGTGACCTGACGAAGACGGACGACATTCGTACGACTGCGGAAAAAGTTCGGAGGGAGATAGGGGACCCATATATCCTCGTCAATAATGCCGGGATACTAACAGGGGGAGAACTCCTCAAACTTAAGGAGGCTCACATCAGGCGCACCTTTGAAATCAACACCTTGTCCCATTTCTGGGTAAGAAGTATGAACGACTTTTTCTCAATAAACTCACAGACGAATTCGGGTTTATTGGATTATGTTTATCGTATTTTGACAAAGCTCATAACCTCGCCAGGGAGTACATTCATCAAAGTAACACCACCATAAGTTGATAGCCATTTGAAAGTTACAGCAATACTACATGTACTGTTGCACAAACGTTTCCTTGATCAGGTAGAAATTACTGGTGGTTGAGAACACGCATTTAAAGTAGGAGAATGATGGAAAGAAAGTGGGACCTGGGGTGAAATTGGAGATCGAAATTCTCATTTAATTAAAAGAAAAAGGCACATTTTTCAACATTTATGTGTTCACTGTTTTGAGGTTTTTAAAATTGCATAAAAGATGAATATTTTTGAATATATGACGTCACAAGCTATGGAATTTCCTGTAAATAATTCTAAATGGAGGACAGTAAGAATATTGTACGTATATGGAATTAGAGTTCATAAAATGTAAATTAACCCACCGGTTTTGTATCCATACTCGTGGCTAGAGATGAAGCTTAATGACCAAGTCTCATTCTAACATCCTGCTAATGCTCTCCTCATTCCATATACATATATATTGATTTTAAAGAAAAAAAATTGAGCAGGTTTTCCTTGGCGATAAAAAGTATACTTTTGATAATAATTTTATACTTTTTTTACAAAGATCATTTCAGTTGGTAAGTACCTTGCATGAAAATTACATGTGTTTGTAAAAATGTTAACTCGATGTGCAACTCTTCTATATGTTAGCCTCCACCAATGGACAATATATTGACTTCTTTGTAATATAGAGCTTTCTCGTGTTTTACACAGACTTGTCAGGAGTTCATGCCGGCCATGCTTAAAGACAACAGGGGACACATAGTAACGATAGCCTCCATGTCGGCAATGTCGGGTACGGCATACCTCGTAGATTACAGGTAAATATTATTTTAGCAAGAATTTAGATAGGAGTCCGTCTGCATCAGCAAATATGTTTACATGGGCGATCTTTTCATAGTATCTTCAAACTTCACACAGTGGTAGAATATGATTATTTTTTAGCTTACTTCAAAAAAGTTGGGGGAGCTTATAATTATGTAATGCCGTCGGCGTCGGTGTCACAAGTAGAAGTTTTTGTAGCAGAATCTGTGCCCTATATAGATCAGAGATGCAGCATGGGCGATCCTTGTAGAATGTTTCATTGTACCAGCTAGGTTTCAGATGCAGCATTTTCAGCCAAAGTTTTTGGAGCATGTTAAATTTTTTTTAGAGCAGGTTAAATTTTTGAGCAAGTTTTTGTAGCAGGTTAAAGTTTTTAGAGGAGGTCTCATATCCAAGTAACTATAAGCCCTATATTGACCAAACTTACAGGGATGATACATCTAGATGCACACTGACAGACTTGTTTCGGATTCTGGATTTTATCTATATTTTCCAAGTTAAAGTTTTGGAGCAGGCTCATTCCAATTTAACTCAAAGCCCTATCTGGACCAAACTTGCATTGAATTTGCATCGAACACTGCATGTCGGACTTGCTTCGGATGCTGAATTTGACCTACATTTTTTTGATGAGTAACCAGGTTAATTTTGGAGTAGGCACATGTACTTTCCAGTGTAAATTCAAGCCCTACCTAGGCCAAAGTTTGATGGATGATCGGCTTGGCCATGATTAGGTGTCCATGTTGGTTGCAGATTAACGACAACAAAAAATAACTTATGAATAAGTAAATAAATAAATAAATAAATAATGTCAAATGAAATTTATTACAAGTATGTTCTATGTAACACTACGCACTTTTTTCTTTGCAAATTGTCTGAAATTCTGTCGAGCGGTTAAAACGTTTTCACTCTTACTATAGTAGCTTCCCTAGTGGGCTACGGACTATATACTGTCCGTCTGCATCAAAAAATCTGTAAAACTCAGAATTCCATTCTACTTTTAAAAGTTGATTTATTTATTACCATCTTCCAGGGCCCGTAGGAAGCAATTTCAGTTGGGGGGGGGGGGGGCACAACCATACATTTTCAGTTGAGGGGGCACTAACAACTAGCAAAAATTCCTTGACAATCAAAAAAAAAAGGTCATCAGACTTTTTTTATTGAGGGGGCACAAGCATATAGTATAAATGCTTTCTATAGAACTTTATATATCGGCAAAATTATTAGGGGGAGGGGCAAGCCCCCAGTGCCCTTCCCCCGGTTCCTATGGCCATGTAATCCTTGGAAGACAGTATATACAGAACTGAAGTATTCCACATACTTCGAATTATGCACTTCCTCTTTTCTGTGATTGATAGAAAATGCAAAAAAAATTCTTTTCTTTTTTTTTTTATTTGGTTGAAATGTTCTTCAACGCACGGAGAATAATTTTCTGATGGTATAATTTACGTATTCTATCGAACAAATTCACAAAATTTCCAGTCGCAGAAAAAAGAGAGAAACGAACAAAAGAAAATTACAATAAATTGACGATTTTTTATCGCCTTCGATCACTAAGAAAGTTTTTCGAAATTTCATAAACAACAGAAATGTTCTTTTATGCATGCAACGTTAAATTCCGTTGTGTGTGTGTGTGTGGGGGGGGGGGGTATGGGGGAGTTTAGTTGTTATTTATATGGTACGGTTGATGCCTGAAAAAGCTGTTAAATAGAAATCAAACCTAGGAATTACATTAGAATAATACAGCCTAATACGTTGTCATTTTTACGATTGTTCCTAAAGATGGCAAAAGTTAATTAACAAAGATGTACAAAGATGTACTAGTAATCATTAATAAAAGCTACAGGTATTTACTTTATTTTTTTAGTTCTTCAAAGTATGCTGCTTTAGGATTTGCTGAGGCTTTGAATGAAGAACTTAGAACTATGGGTAAAACTGGAGTATACACAACCACTGTGTGTCCTATGTTTGTTGATACAGGTCTTGTGAAACAACCAAAAGATAGGTAAGGGTTTATAATTCTTATAAATCTTAGAGATACGCCAAACACCACCAAGAGTTAAATGTATTACATCAATCACAGGGTATTTTGCAGAACTGGTAGAAATTTATAGCAATCAGTCGATTTTTTACAGAGAAGGTTAGACTATTAAACCAATGGGTATTTTACAGAACAGATAGAATATATGTTTTTAACCAATCACTGGACATTCTACGAAATTAAACCAATTATAGGGTATATTGCAGAATAGAAGAATTTTGTATTTCACAGAACAGGTAGAATTTTTGGGTTTTATACAGAGCAGGTAGATTATTAAACCAATCGTTGGATATTTTACAGAGCAGGTAGAATATTAAACCAATCGTTGGGTATTTTACAGAGTAGGTAGAATATTAAACCAATCGTTGGGTATGTTACAGAGCAGGTAGAATATTAATCCAATTGTTGGGTATTTTACAGAGCAGGTAGAATATTAAACCAATCGTTGGGTATGTTACAGAGCAGGTAGAATATTAAACCAATCGTGGGGTATTTTACAGAGTAGGTAGAATATTAAACCAATCGTTGGGTATTTTACAGAGCAGACAGAATATTAAACCAATTGTTGGATATTTTACAGGTAGAATATTAAACTAATCGTTAGGTATTTTACAGAATAGGTAGACTATTAAACCAATCGTTGGGTATTTTACAGAGTAGGTAGAATATTAACGCCTAAGGAGGTGGCTTTAGCAACAGTTGATGGAGTACTAACCAATGAAGAAATAGTCTACGTGCCTGGAAGAATGAAATTCCAAATGTCTCTTTCTGCGTAAGTCATAGGCAGTACAATAGTTTACTTTATGCTATATATATACATGTATTATACATCGAATTTTTTAATCTTGAAACTGCTATTTTTCTTTTCTTTTTTCAGCTTTTTCCCCAGAGACATGATAAAGTATACTAAAAAAGCCTCGGGTTTGGGCATCGAACCACAGTATGAGCCGACAACGTTTAAGACGGACTAGGATATGATAAACACGTGCAAGTGTTCCATTAATTTTGTCTGCGATATGAATGTTCATTGTAAATGAATTAAGTGTTTTTAGATAGACTGCAACGGTCAAATAATGACAAAAGTTATTCAACATGGATTGTATTACATACGTGTACTTAAAATGACTTTTTAAAGCATAAAGAATATTAGTTTTGGACTTAGTTATATTGTGAGTGCCATTGCTTTATATAATTTATATAATAGTTATATAATACTTTATATAATGGTAAGTTATTTGTCGTACTTTCTAAATTTGTCAATCAGATATATTGTGTATTGATTGGGGATGACAATGGTTTAATCATGACCTCGAGTGGGTTTGATAAAAAAAAATTAAGCATCTATAATTGATTTAAATATGATAATGTCTTTACACAATAAAACAATCAAATTTGATGTGAATCTCAATTTTGTACGGTACACCAAGAACAGACAAAGGGCAGAGTTTTATCAGTTGGAAAATTTATAAGGAAAACAATCTAGTTAAAAGTACTGAATATAAGATGAAGATAGCGATGTGTCCTTAATATTGAAGATGTGAGTCCTTAGTGTTATAAATATTTTATTGTGAAGTTTGCTGACGATGCGCAAGTTTTGATTAGAGTCCTACCATGAAATGTGCTTTTAGAATATTGTTCTTGAGATATTGCAAGTCTAGACCGTTAATTGTTGTGAACGACTGGTTATTGCTAGAAGTCATTGAAGCTGAATGAAAATACTGACCTTGAAGTCAGATATGGAATGCGGATACATGTAGTGACAATGGCTGTTTTGTAGTATTGGTATATACCATGAAAATTCAACGATTTTGTGTAGTTTAAAAAATAATAAGTGAAAATCCTGACTAATGATATGTTGATTTAGAAGCACAAACATTTATGGAGATTTCGATAATTCGACGTTTACGTGTAATGTTAGAACCTCATTGGAAGTGATGAGTAGCCTTAATATGTTGTCTCCAGTCAGCAAAGTCCTATTGCTAAGCTTGAAAAAATGATATTAAAGTTCTGGGCGGGGAGGCTTCACATACATCACGTACATAGAAGGTTTAGCATTTAAAGGGAAAAAAAGTTTTATCGGAATGTACCAATTATAGAAATCTTTCAGTATTCATCGATTTTATTTCTTTATTCAAAGATATAGTTTGTACATTAATCAAAGATTTGAAACAAAACCATAGGTCGGCATTAGAGATGTCAGTTTGAATAGTTAGATTGGGTTCACACGGTACTGAGCTGAGAGTCTATATAGTCCTGACTTAAGGATGGCAATTTGCAATCGGTCAATCTGTTACTCAACGGGAACGATGGTAGTCGGTGAGAAATCTGGAATCGGTTAGTTAGTCGAACAAAAATGTGTTTAAAATTAAATTTTAAAAAACTGAACGTTGACAAGTTACTGTTTTCACATATTTATTGTAGCTGCGTTTAAGATAATTTGGTTCTCAAGGTTGAGAGCAGGAAGGAGGGTGTAATTGGTCAGTTTGCGAAGTGTTTTTAAAGAGTTAATTACTGCTTAAACATCATGTTAATTCCCAGTCTATCCTGTATTCAATTGCCATTCCTAATTCCTGTAAATGAATATAAACTGACGCTTATTTCCCAGGTCTATATGATCCACGACAGGCACGCGTGTCCCAGTCACATCCGTACTTTGAACTTGTACAGGCATTTTGAGTGTACCAGCAATTCCTATTAGATCTCATGATACAATGGTTACTTGCCGGGGGTGGACACTTCCTTCCATCAAAAGAGTTAGTGCAATCGACAACCTGAAAAAGTATAAAATCTCATTGAATATGTATTTTCAAAACATATAGACAATTTAAAACATTGTTTAAAAAAATGGTAATGTTTGTAATGTCTGTTACCGATATGAATATTTGATGTATCTTACTGCACATTTTGACTTTGAAGAATTACACTGAACTTGAAATTTTGCACATTTTTCATACATTTCAAAGAAGGACGCTAAAATAACTCGTAATGTAAAACAAACGTTGAAATGTTACTATTTATTTTGAATCAAATTTATATACAGAACTAGCAAAATTCTTTAAATGAAATGTAGAAATATCACCTTATTTGTCAGTATCTTGCAGAGATTTAAAAAAAAAAACTGATTATATTCAGAACATAATATGTTTAACTTAATTAATAAGGCCATCATTAAAATAATGTTTGTTTGTCCTCACATAGGGCTCATGGCGGTTGTGACAGGTGAACAAGGGAAGCTTACTCCTCCTAGACACCTGATCCAACCTCTCGTTTTCCAGGGATACTGGATTTATGAAATTGATCACTGTTCGCTATCTTCATATATTACATTTAGCAACGTTAACTATATTTCTTATTATCTTCGTCTTTAACCTTGTTATAGAATGAAGTTAATTCAATTAATGTCGAATAAGGAACTGTGATTTTAGACAAACTCCCTGATAACATAAAGAGCTTCTGTGTTATGGTGCTTTTCATGTACAATATTTCTATGCTTTAATTCATGGTAATGATAATGTTGTCTGACTTCTATTTAGAAGTATCAATTAAGAATATGAATAATCTTTTGTTCAATTAGTAACATGTATATAAGCATTGTTCTTCACAACTTATTTGAAATGGGAGCATAAATAAGGTGTATCATTGGTTGTACGAAAGCTAATAACCCCCCCCCTCTTAAAAAAAAAGAAAAGAAAGAAAATAAAAATCCAAATACATTTTTTTCACAGGTACTTGTGGACAGGACACCCCCCCCCCCCCCAAAAAAAAAAAATATTCCACCCCGAGGCTTGATGGACATTTCTTCACAAATTAAATTATTACACGTATTTATCATGTATACGGTAGGAAAATCGGGGGAAAAAGCAAAAGAATCGTTCATACAAAACATACGCCACTATGCATTATAAGAGAGAAAGATATTCCACTCCGGTTTATTTACATTGTACCCCCGCTGGTCTTTCTGGTTAAAAAAAATGTATTTATTTTATTTCAACCTAAAATGTCGGTTCACATTGTCTCTGCATATATTTCTGCAATGTAAAATGGGGTATTTTTTGCATGAAAGTATTATGCATTTTCCCCCGATTTTCCTATGGTATGCATGATAAATAGGTGTATTATATATAATTTGTGAAAAAATGTCCAACAAGCCCCGGGGTTGAATATTGGGGTGTGGGGGTTCCTGTCCATAGTACCTGTGCATTTTTACTTACATTGCAGCCACAGCTTCTCTTGTATATCCCGCGTGAGAAAGCTTTTCGCTGATATCTCGAGTAAGATTTAAAGAGACCATTTAGACTACATAAACCTGTAGTCCAAATTCCTCCTCGTATGCCGCCTAATGATAAATAAAACAAAATTAGAATGGAAGAAAAAAAATTGATTTCGTGTTTAATGTCTATATATGTTAAGTGATGAAAAATTTGCAATAAAAAAGTAATTTATGAATGAAATACAAGAAAACTCTAAAATGAAAACTGTATGAAATATAATCGTTTTTAATGGGTTTTTTTTTTTTTATCCTTTATGAAATCGTTTTGTTCTTGAAAATTTCTTGGCTTGAATTGCCTTTGTTAAGGATGATTAAAAAAGCTTCAGTTTCAAATTTCTTTCAGTTTACTGGCTCATCAGAATATCAAGTACATGTAATTAAGAAAAAAATGAGAGAAAGAGAGAGATACACGAATGAAAAACGTGTTACATATCAATATTATTTTTTCTTTAAAATGTGGCAGTATGATTTAAAATAGCAGATTTGCATCTATACTTATTTGCAATCTAAAATTATAATATTTTTCCAAACAAATCAGTACAGCTTATGTGATCAGCAGTAGTTACCAAGTTCCCATCAGACAGTTTAACAGATAAAATTGCAACCATTTGAATATTGTTTTGACAATAGATATAGTTTGTCTTATATCTGGAATTTACCTGTATTTTTCATTTAATAGATAAATTTAAGAAAGCAAATGAATAAATTAATAATTTTAATAATAATCCTAATTTAAGTTTCGCCATGCACTCTTCATTGAAAAATGACCATCGTACTCTATGCTAATCGAGCTGTGAACTCATTTAATTTTTATTTCAGTCTTGCACACATAATGTAATCAATTTGTAAAATTAATTTTACATAAGATTTAGCAAAGAGTCATATCTCTACTCAGACTGGTTCTCATTAGATAAATAAGTCGTGAAATAATGGCAAAATTAACTTGGCCAACTAAGCCAAGTATAATTAAATAGAGGATATCGGTCAATAAAGCAATAATACATGAAGATATCAATTGCATATGGAGCTTTAATTAAGTTTAGTTTTAGTTTCCATTTCTTTCCCTAGGTTTACGTTTCCCCTGTTCACCAGCTATGATACAGACTATAGCAAATAAGTAATTATCTTACCTGGAAATTTTTCCGTTTAGCATAAATTTTTTTCTACACTTGAATTTTAAATATGTGCAAAATGGGAACAAACCGAAACTTTACATCAAGTAACAAGAGAATTTTTTTTCTAAAGGATACCTTTTAGGGGGGCGAGGATGCATGTAATAGTAGAATTTGTGAAAAAAGGTCTCGCCTTAAATGTTTTTTTAATGGGTGAATCGATCTGTAGCTTTCTGGTAAGTTTGCCCAAAGAGCTACCGTTTTACGGCTGTTACGACTTAGTAGATAAGTAGTTCTTTTATCTGTGTACAATGAATTAACAAAAGTATTTGATCTTTAATTTTGTAATATTCCCTAATAATTTACTCACTGAATCTCACATTATCTCCAAAACATCCGACAATAAAACTTCTTAAATATTATTTTTATTAATCAATAATATCATGTACATGTAATAAAATCATCGAGGCAATGAATCCTACTTTTTCTTTAGATATTTACTGTCTACAGACATCTGATTTGATAAACTTACCTGCAATGATATAAGTCTTATTCAATTCAAAGTAAGAGCCACAAGCTGCACTGTTAGAGGCCGTGTATATAGATCTTTTTCCAAGGTTTGGGCCGTAACTGTTCTGTAGTAAATATCATGGTTATCAAATGCTCAGAATAAATTCTAATTCGTGAATTGCCTGTTACTGGATTCAAAAAATAGATGAAAGATTGTATGACGTGATGAAAAGTAGAAAAAGTTGAAGCATAATGAGATAAGTACTTTGTAATCTTCAAGTATATTGACTACATATTTCACTTCTTGTCCAAATTCGTTGTTACCCGGTTTTCGGTGCCAAAACCTTTGCCTTGACAACTATAAAAACAAAATAAAAATGCTTTGGAGAGATGGAAGAAATTAAATGCACGAAAACTAAAAATTAGTACAACTTTCCGCAATGAAAACAATAAAATTTGCTGGAATTGAAATAGACATCATAACTATTCTAACTTGAAATGTGA